ATTGACCCACACCTATTTACATTCACAAAGCATATATGGCACATTTATATACACTATTTCTGTACATTTGAGCTGGTGTATTATTTAAGACACTCATTTCTCTCTGTAAGTAAGTTATTTGTGAGTTCTTAACAACTTATTTAGCTCCACAGCGCTGTCTCACTGCATCTGTATCTCTTCGCCCTAGGCTCTAGGCAGAGGGAGGCTAAGCCTGTTATATTTTTCATGTGTTTATTTTGGCAGAAGCTCCCTATAAGAACTTAATCTGAGAACAGAGGGATTCCGTTCCAGAACGGATAAGAGGGAACATACGTAGAAGGAGGGAGAAAGACGTAGCTCAGTGGAGGATAGAGTGGATCTCTGTGTGTATATGAACCTGGTTGCAGAGCACATGTAAAAGGGGCAGAGATAGTGTTCAGTTGTTAAGGGTCAAGGCAGGTCACTACGCTGTAGCTATGGCGACCGTGCACTTGCAACACACGAGGGGCCTTCACCTGAAATGCGTGTGGCAGCCCTCCAAACAGGACCGAGCGAAACCCGACCCAGCAGGCCGTGCGGAAGCAGAACTGCTCCCACGGCTTGCCGCCACACCCTGAAACCTCACACAACATGGCTCACAGCCCGGCCACAGCTTTTACACCAGAAGAGTCAACTTTTCTATCCGAATCCTGAAGTTTGGAGGAAAATGGCACCAAATAAATACGTAGGGAACAGCTAGAATTCTGTGAACAGTTCCATGTTAAACTAAGTAGTTTGGTAAAAAAATAATAAATGTTCTTGGCCAGTGTAGATGATCTGCCAAGATTTGTTTGATGCCTGAAGTTTGCTTTAGACTTGCGCTAGACCCACAAGGCTAAGGGTAATAAGTAATTGAAACCACAAATTAGCGGTGTGAAAACATGCCTAAATCATCACTCGGTTGCCTCGAACCATGTTGTTAAGTAATCTTAGATAGACTTGCTCATGTGGTTTCTAACACTGCATTTCATACTATAACCTAAAACAATGGACAAAAGAAAGTTCCAGACTACCTTTTTATTTAATTTCCAATAAAAAAAAACATTAAATACAGGTTATTCATTTTTCAGGAGATGTTTCTGAGGATGTTACATATAAGATAATCCACTTGCATAAAAAGGGAGACTATCAAACAATAATAATAATAAGTAAAGTTTCCAAAACTAGAGTTTGAAAAAGTATTAAAAGATATAGAGAAAATGGGGCTCCTAACAACCAGGTAAGACCTGGTAAACCACCAAAACTGTCACCATCAGATAAGCTTAACTTAAAGCGTTCATCTTTGAGAGAGAGGAGAAAATCAAGCTCCACTTCTGCTCCAGATTCGGAAACATCCACAGTTGTTTCTGTCCGTCCTTCCACTGTGAGACGACAACTCAGTGCTAGAAATAGATGAAAAAAGAACATTTGCAAGTAACACAGAGAAGTTGCTGGTATTCTTAAACCGAAGGACTGTCCACCCTAGAGTCCAGCCCTCATTGTCACTGAATGTGTTTGGGATTACTTGGATCATGAGAAGCAGAAAGTGCAACCAGCTTCTAAGACTGAACTTGAAAGAAGGCAGAAGAGGTTTCTTTGACAGTGACGGGTTTTCATAATTTATTTTTCATATGTTACTATGATAACCTTTTAACAGACATCATTGGTTATCATTGGTTAGTCTACACACTTCTGTCAGGTGTCCAGGTTCTTTTTCTATTCTCACTATTGTATATTAATTGTCATATCTTATTCTTGCTGCTCTTGCTGTGTTATTGTTTTGCTGTCCAGTGTTGACCAGACGAGGATGGGTTCCCATTCTGAGTCTTGGTTCCTCTCAAGGTTTCTTCCTCTTGCTGTTACGGAGTTTTTCCTTGCACCTGTCGCTTTTGGCTTGCTCTTTCAGGGCTTGGACTTGAATTCTGTATGAAGCTGTGTTGTGATAACGCCTGTTGTAAAAAAGCTCTAAATAAGTAAATGTTGAATTGAATTATTCACTGGTTAGCAGTGCTTGGCGTAGTTTTCCTTTAACTACTGTAAATGAACTAGCTAATCTTATCTCAGATCAGCAGTAAAAGGCAGTAATAACAAAAGGTGTTGGAGTATTTTTTCCTCTTGTCAACACAGAGTTCAAAAACACTGTAAGCTGTTAAAACAGTTGACAGCAGTTATTGTGGGAAAACGTGGCTGACAGGCAGTGAGAGTGTGGACTCATTCGCTGGATTGTTACATAAACTTAAAGCCTCTTATAGCTTTCATTAACAGAGCTTAGAAGTGGTCAGTGATATGGATGGTGAAATGACCAGGCAGTTTTCAACACCATCAGTTGTGTATAGCAGGGGTTTCCAGTCCCAGTCCTGGTGACCCTTTGCTCTGTGCATTTTTGTGGTTTGTCTACACACCTGACCCGGCCAACGATGCCCTTGTTAATTAGTTACAAAGTTGAATCAGATGTGCTCGAGTTCTCAGTGAGACAAAGCACAAACATGTGCATAGTGTTGGGTTGCCAGGACTGGCTTTACTGTAATGTAGCTGTATTTTGCTGTACACTTACAGTAATAAGCTTTAAATAAAGTACAGTAATTTCCTGTATTTTTACATAAATATAAAATTTACTTTAAATGATAACAATTCTATAAATATGTAAAAAAATGAAGTTAAGAAAAAATAAATAAAATGAAAATAAACTAAACTGAATAATAACAGTAAATAACAAAATCTAATAACGTATTTTTCACCATGTTTTACACTGTATATGCACAGAATATATCAAGGTTGCTTTTTTAAATGCAAAGACAAATTTAACTTTTTTGCAGTGTTCGCCAAAACCTACACCAAAACCTGAACCACCAGAATAAAAACACTTTCTCTTTAAAAACATAGATGTTTTATCAAATTGCACCTTTTTTGCACAGTGTGAGTTCTGCATCAACCTCACAGTAATTTCCTCTGATTTTCACAGAAAATGTTGTGCTGGATTGATTTCACAGTAAAATGATCAATATAGCATTTTACCATGACAAATTAGTGCTAAATATTGTGCAATCCTGGCAATTATTTACAGTGCATGAAGGCTGGAGTATGTGCCACGAAATCCAACGTCCTTGACAACAAAGAACACTTAGTGATCTGAGATGTTTTTGGACATTGTTCCTCCCCTTGATGAGCAGAGGTTATAAGTTGCTTGTGTTACGTCCTTTGTGATGGACCATGAAATGATTCCACATGGCTGAAGAGAGCACAAGAAACACATTTTTAACAATTTTTCTCATTTTCAGTACCAAAAAGTGTCATTTTTTACCATTTTCGGCCAAACATTTCGGGTGACTGAAATTTTCTCTGTATCTCTAATCTCTATAGGTTTGGGTTATTACTGAATTAAATAAAAGTTACTAATCTGATTTTTGAATGATGGTGTATGTCAGTCTATATTATCCTCCACTTAGATTTTTTGCAAAGCTGCGCACGGAGACACAGAGCTCTAACAGTGCTATCACAGTACTATCAGTGCTTTTGATAGTGCCACCGTACCAAACCAGCAGACCTCATAATCTCAGTGCACTGATCATATCTGTCCCACAGTTTGTGTTTTGACTGAAGCTGCTTTAGCGCTGAGGCTAATCCTTTGTAAGATTACATCTGGTACCGGAGATCTGTCACTTCTCATCCTTTAAAGGACTCATATGAGGGGACGATACGTCTCCTACCTTTTCTCATCAGTATTTGAAATCAGCTGAAAGAGAGGACCTGAGGGAGACCACCTGTTGGGTTTATCCACTTCTGAGCAGGAGCAGAGGTTCTGTTGGGTTTTAATTCCAGGGATTAAATGTTTGTTTGTTGACTGACGACTCATTACACAGATGGAGCCTGCATTTTGTGGCAGATTGCTTTTGGCTTTGCCATCTTGGTGACATTTGGTGTTCGGACACTGGTAACCATCAAACAGATTCTGCTTTTGTCCTAGGCTGTGGGAGAGCGTTTGTTGCTGTTCTCCTCAGATTGTGACGGGGTGTGATGTACTGTCTGTGTATTTGCAGTATGGCCGGACTCCGCTGCATTTGGCTGCCTATAAGGGCCACATAGAGGTGGTGAGGATTCTGCTGAAGGCTGGCTGCGACCTGGACATTCAGGATGACGTGAGTGCAAATTCAATCATAACTGTTCTGTTTTTGTGCATCTACAGTGTAGAATCTGTATAGATTAGTGTTGAGTCAGTAAAGTTAACCAGAAACCAAGTTCAACACTACGTCAGCATGGATGTGTTGAAAATTGAAAACATTTGAAAATATATAACATTTGAAAAGTTGAAAACATTTTTTGAGTAAGTATCAGTACAAAATTATTTGTGAGACATACACTACTGTTCGAATGTGTGGGTTCACTTGCCATATTAATGTTTTTATTATATACAATAATAATGATACAGTGTGTATTTAAGTTTTACAAACTACTAGGCAAAACATATTATTAGATATTTTATTTAATATTTCAAGAATTCCATGCGCAAGAAGCGAGTACGACTGTAAACAACATACTAATATGATCTATTTACGTTCTTTTTTTGTCAAGTTACCTCCCTTGTGAGTTGATCTCCACTTTTAAAAAAGGACCATTTCCAGATATTAGCTTTATTATAGCTTCATTTTCAGTGTTGATCAATGTTGATCATTTTTAAATGGTCAAATGACGTTTTGTTAATTTACTAAGTGAAAGTAATTTACTATATCCTCTACAGAGAACGCACTTTAGGGCCCAATTACTGTTTATTTGCAGAATTTAACTGTGGCACGTTATATATTTTATGTTTTATTGTTTTCCAATATGTTAAACTCAGCAAATAAATAGAAATTGTGTTCTAAAATAAGGATGTGTTAACTTATGTTCACTGTCATTTGTCGAACATGTCATTTGACCAGGGTTGTTTGAACTTCTGTGTACAACTGTATCAGAGATTCATTTACTGTGCTCTTTGTTAGTAAGATCAAATTGATTGGGGCTTTTGTATCTGTCATACTTTCTTTTTATCGGATAGACTTTCATACATTATGTACCATGTAACTCAGTTTCAGCAGAATACTAGGATTGTTTTGGTTTCCGCATTGCTTCTACTTTGTGCTTGTTTCTTTTTCAAAGCTGCTTTAGTCATCTTTTCTTTTGGTTGCATTTCTTTGGATTTAGAAACTAACACTGCATTTATGGAATATAGTTTGACCATCGCTTGAACTTTAGTAGCACTCAAATGATAAGTCCCGTTTTCACATTGCATGCTTTGCATGGCCCTTAGTGAATGTGGCTGGCTACGGTTTGTGTGTAAATGGGATCCACTGTGAGCTCAAGGCCATAATAACACAGTAAAATGACCAGTGCTAAATTACCTCCTCCAGGTAATAATACTGTTTGTTGTTTTGTAGGGGTTAATTTAGCACTGGTGGTTTTATGAGCACCTAACAATTACTAGCACTGCAATGGCATCCTCCAGTGGCTTGGAGTGGGACTATTATGACTGGCACCTGGAGGAATCTCCTCCTAACTCTCCACTAGTACCAGAGCCAGGGGTAGAACCAGATCCAGGGGGCCAAGCACCTGACCAGCCTGACCAGCCTCCCCAGGAGTCTAACCCCTGGCTCAGGCAGATTGTTTCCACCTGGTCCCTGAGCTCCCCCTCTCTCTGGAGCACCGGGCGGCTGAGTGGACAGACACTCACACCTCCGCGGGGAATGAGAGAGGGCAGGAGTCCGTGGAGGAGAGCTGGGAGAGAGAGAGGAGGAGCAGAGGAGAGGATTAAGGAGGTTAGAGAATGTTGCTCACTCTCAAAAACTAGCTGCACGCAGACTTGGCATTCTCCAAAAGCCAGTAAACCAGACATTGAGCTGGTGGAATATATGGTAACACTTTTTTATGAAACACATATTAGGACTTTATTAATCCCAGATTAGACAAGAATAGTTTATTCACTGAGCACTAAGTGTCTTTATAATGACCTCTGTTAGTACTTTATTGGATGTCTGTCCTGTGAAACTCACTAATAATTGCATAATTATTTATAATAATGCACAATAAATACTTTGTTGACCTTGTTATACACCTTACTGAGCACAAATTATCATTTAAATTCATATCATATTAATGAATAGTCAACAGCACTCCATTACTATAGGTTATATAAAAAGTCTATTGTTTTACTTGGGTTTATTACTTAAGAGCTAATCTAGATTATTTAGTATTTCTAAAAGTTCAAGATGAGTTACATGTTCTAAAGTCAATATAAATCACAAATACTTTTTCCTGGTATTTTGCCTGCAAAAAAGTAGAAAAACTTCCAAATTTTTCAAATGTATTTGTATTTCATTGTTAAAATGTTAAAACCTGAAATATTCGAAGTGGGCATGTTTATGGCTTAAGTTTTATTTAGATTAGGTGACCCTTATTAGTCCTACAATGGGGAAATTTCACCTCTGCAATCTAATCCATCCATGCAGTGAAACACCACATACACACTAGTGAATGCACACACACTGGGGGGCAGTGAGCACACTTGCCCGGGGCGGTGGGCAGCCCTATCCGCAGTGCCCGGGGAGCAGTTGGGGGTTGGGTGCCTTACTCAGGGGCACCTCAGTCACATACTGTCAGCTCAAGGGATCGAACCAGTGACCTTCCGGTCGCAAGGCTGGTTTCCTAACCTCCAGCCCACGACTGCCCCCTATGGCTGCCACAATGCCAATTGTTTGCATAACAAGGTCTTAAAGTGTTTATTGCACATGATTAATGCAGAATTGTTACTAATGATAAAACGTTTAATTAAATAAATAAAAATTTATTCAATTATTAGTGATTTTCACATAACAGACCCTTTATTAATTTGTAATTATGCGAATTATACAAATACAAGTCATAATGAATAATGCTTAATGCAAAGTGTCTAATTTGGGCTTTTCTGAGCGAAGAACAAGACCTTAATAAACACACTTAGAACAAATTGTTACTGTTGAAAAATAATGGTTCAGTCTAGACTGGTCTTAAAGTAATATTTTGGCAAAAAATCTAATTTACACTGTTTCACCCCAAAGGTAGGCTAACAGAAAAGACAAACGTTTTGCACGGAAGCTACTTGATTAAAGCAGATAACAAAAAAGAAGCTTATCTCACACCAGAATATCAATGAATAAATGTGTGCCATCCAACTGAAAACAGTATTAACAACCATGTTGAAGTCTGAATTTTGTCCATAGATAGAGGATGCGTGGGTATTTTGCTTCATGTCAAAAAAATGAGCAAAATACACTCTTTCCTGAAGTTTTCATTCATGACTGGATTAAAAATGAAATCATTGTGGAAGCGTACAGCTTTACTGGCTAATAATGTGTTTTTAATTACTTAGTTCCATTAATGCTAAATATGTATAGTTTGACCCTCCAAACCATCCATAGTTCCAGGCTAAAGTCCAGCTGCTTACACACTGTACTATGTGTTGCTAGAGACATATAGCTTTTAAAGACCTTCGGCACATTCTGTAGATTGCCAGAACTGTGCTTGCGGGAGACCTATGGATAAATCAACAAGCAGCAAACTAACAAAAGCAACAGCGAAGTGGAAAGCTCCAGTTAACCTCGAGAGGATCCACTGTAACAGTGAACACAGTGAACAGCTGCATTCACACAGTGAAATTAATTTAATTGAATTTTTGAAAGGAATAAATATATTCTGATAATATTATTTTGTCCTCTCAAATAGCTTTGACAAATTGCACTGTTTTTAAGTGGAGAAAAATGTTATTTAAGGTTACAATTGAGCAATTAAGGGTCATTAACTACACAAAATAATGTGATTAATTGTGATTTATTATTTTAATTGTTTTACAGGCCTAATTTTAAAGTAACTAGTAACCAAAGTCATAAGATCAATCAGGGAGATTGGATCATAAATCAACATTCAAAATGCAAGAAAGAAGTCCCAGAACGTTAAAGGACTCTGAACTATTAAAGGATTAGATCAAGGGGCAAAAAATTAGACAAGGATGTCCTTGAAATTAGATTTTTTTGCCAAATATCACTTTAATGTCCATCGAATCCCCTTGTTCTCCAGCTTCTTTCTCTCTGTCTCTCTTTGCCTGTCAACTGCTGCTACTGGGCAACAGCTTTATTTGGCATGGAATGATCACTCCTGTCTCCCCCCCAGCTCTGCCTGCCTCTCTTTGCAGTGTGAGCTGAGTGCCTGCTGATCTCAGCCACCACAAGACACCACTAAATGTCTGGATGCCTTCTGAGGTCCTGATAGCTCTGGGCTGCGTTCAGAACATCAGGAAAAGTCATTTGTGCTGTCTTAAAAATGAGTAGTGTTCTACTAATTGTGAGTCTCTGTAGATTCTTAACCTAGTATGCATGCTTAGTGCCAACTTTGGGGTGTCTTGCCTCAATGAAGCAGCTTAAATATTTTTTGTACTGGGAGGAGGAAAAGGAATAGCTGGAATAGTTGAATCACAATGGGCAAATAATGGAAAGAACACAAAACAAAAAAGTAAAAGGGTTTTACATTCACCCTTCATTTACTGTTTCCCCCCCTGTGTTTGGGCCTTGCTGGGAGTCGTTGACGTTTTCTTTTCACCACAACTTTTGCTTTGGCAGTTAAAAGTTAACATTCCTGCATTCATTCGCCATTTGACTCTCTCAGTGACACACAGTTGAACCACCACTGTTTAAGCTGAAAATCACGGCTTGAATTTTAATTGCATTGGGGGTTTAACTGACATTACTGACCATCTTTGTGCTCTATTGCTGTTGTCAGGGTGACCAGACGGCCTTACACCGAGCGGCTGTGGTGGGAAACAGTGATGTCATCTCGGCTCTCATTCAGGAAGGTTGCGCACTGGACAGGCAAGACAAGGTGAGCTTCATGCAAACACCTATATGGTATATTACATAAAGGCCTCCAATGCTAAGTACATCAAATCTTTTAGTATTTATAATGATGAAGTTTGTTTTGATTAAAGGCATCATTAATTCTGATGAGCACAAATGAATTTAATGCAACTGCATCATACTGCATCATACATCATCCTAGAAAGCATTGCGTTTAATGTTGGATGTAAACAATGTTTAAGTTACAAATTGTACTATTAACTCCCCAGTTTATACATATACATGCCCATATATGGAACCTGCCCGTTTTGAGCTCCATGTTTTTGTGCCACTCAGCCTACAGCAGTTTAACTCAGCCTGGACTGCTTTTTCAGTGAGGCACAGTAAATCGAAACAGAGGTCATTTACATTTGTCAACCTAAAAGGCACAGTAACAACAGCCTGTTTAATTCTAAGGGAAAACGAGAGGTTGTTAAAATGAATTCTGACTGTTTTTGGCACATAAACCTACACAAATGTTATATGTGGACTAAAGAATAATGATGCTGAAAAAATGTATAACTTAATGACCGTTTTGTCTGGAAATTAATGAAATTAATGAAAGGGTGGTCTCTGACTTTTGAACAGTAATGTATATGTAGCGTATGTATATATATATGTACATACAGTGTATATATATATATAGTAGCTATCACCTCAATCTTTACACTGTGAATAGTTTAAGAGAAATTGACCAAAATTTACTTGGAATAAGATGTTATATAAACTGAAATGAAAGATGAGAACATTTTTGGCTTTTTTGATAACATTACCATATATTATACATATATACCATTTGTCTAATATATAACTAATATTGTGGTTAATACTATATAAGAATTGAATAGTAATAACTATAATAAATAACATTTTACAATAATGTTTACAGTGTAACTAATGTTTACTGAATACAGAGTTTGATTATTTCTCCTCTATTTGAATCTGCAGGATGGAAACACAGCACTGCATGAGGTGGCATGGCATGGGTTCAGTCAGTCTGTCAAACTGCTGGTTAAGGCTGGGGCCAACATTCATGCTAAAAACAAGGTGAACTTATTTTCATACAACACTGTGGGGCCCATAAACTGATTTCAAGACTTTCCCTCCTTCACTCGTCTCAGTTTTTGGGGTGAAATGTGGCTGGAAGTAGATGGATGTTTGTGGTGAATTTGCCATGTTGCTTAAACATAACATGCTTATCCTCACCATGTAGTTGTCAAATGGGTAGAAAGGATTCTTTCGTAAAAATACTTGCAGGGTGTTATAATAAATCAGTAACCATCTAATAACTCACTGACCAACATTAATAATGATAGGTCTAATTAAGATAAAAAGGTAGACAAACTTAGCATTTAAAGTCTTGCCCAAGAACTTTAATTGGTATATAACGCTTTTTATATTACGATTTGTCCCATTAAATGTCTCTGAACCAGTCTGGGTCAATGCGCCTTCCCTTACTGCTGAGTGAAGATGAAAGTACGGCAAGAACAGCAGTGTTAAGAGTGTAAACAGTGCAAAGCCTCGGCAAAATATGTGAATGTGGCTTCATAATGACTGCTTGAAAAAGCTCAGTTGTTAGAGTCTGTGCCCATAAAATGAAGCCGGATGACAAACTGCCAGTTGAGCATCGTTTGTTGCTGCTAACAGATTCGCTTTAACTAGTTTACACTTTATATTCTCTTTATAACTGGCTGTATTCTGCCCTCACAAGCGTAGGCTGTGGAGGTCAACAGATAGCTAACAGGCTAATGCTACATTAATAAAAGACAGACTTCAAGTTCAAGCCTTTAAAGAAGGAGTCGCTTAAAAATGGAGACATACAAAGTAGGGAATGTTATTTAAATGCCTGCTACGAGCTTAACATGTCTGGAATTAACGTAGAACTGACATCAAAATCCAATAAAGCACAAAATTACCCCGCTATCTTGATCCTAACGTACCATGGTGAACATAAAGTGGGACATTATTGAAGCACTGGTTTAAAACACAAATTTTATATTAGACATTGTTTTGTAATGGCATTATTTTATGGTTTTATGTCTCAGTGTAAAGTAAATTTTCAAAGTTGAAATGACTTTATTAGCATGAGTATTCTCTGGGCTAAATCGTTTCTCTCATGCAGGTTCAGGATTCTTCTCTTATCTTACTGTAGAATGTCAGGTTTCTGCTGAAAATCTGTTTTTTTATTCTCACATTTCTATCATGTTAGGATGTTATAAGCATTTAACATATTGTCTGTTAATGCCTCTCCGAAAGTTGTGTCTAGAAGTCACACAAGTATCATGGGGCGTATGAATAAGTTGGGTACGAACTGCCGAATAGACAATAAATCAGCGTCATGTCTGAACTATATCTTGGTAAATGTGTAAAGTTGCTGTCTGTAGTTTCAAACATTCCTATATGCCATCCAGATGGCTGTGCTCCCTCTCTGCCTGCAGACACACTACATTAAATTGTATGTCCATGTTCAATGTTATGTAACCACGTAAACATGGATGTACATGGATGGATTCATTTTTCCATCTTGTTCAGAATTAATGAGAGCATCGGGTTGGATTATCATTCACAGCGGCATACATAGTACACTCTGTTACTGGAGCTTCAGAGCATTATGGTCACTATGGAAACATCAGATGCTGCACCAAATTGTGTTCATCCTTAATATTAATGATGCTTTCACAGATTTGGAAGCTAGACACTAATACACTCCTACATCATGACAGACGCTGGCTTTTGAAATTTATGCTGGTAGCAATCCGAAAAGTGCTTTTCTTATTTGGCCTGGAGAACACAATGTCCATTATTTTCATAAACAATCTGAAAAGTTTACTTGTCAGACCACAGCACATGTTTCCACTGTGCATCAGTCGGTTTCAGACAAGAGAAGCCCAGAGAAGTCAGCGGTGTTTCTGGACACTGTTGACAAAAGGTTTCCTCTGGGTTACTGCTGTGCCTGATCCACTCGTACCAGCGCAACACACACTAACACACCACCACGTCAGTGTCACTGCAGTGCTGAGAATGATCCACCACCCAAATAATACCTGCTCTGCGGTGGTCCTGTGGGGGTCCTGACCATTGAAGAACAGGGTGAAAGGTGGCTAACAATGTATTCAGAGAAACTACAGTCTGTAACTGTAGAACTACACAGTGCACCTATATAGTAAGTAAGTGGAGCTGATTAAATGGACAATGAGTGTAGAAACAAGGAGCTGTACTTAACGAAGTGGCCGGTCAGTGTAGACTATAGAACACAATTAAAAAAAAAACTTTGTGAAAAGGCTGTGTTCAGTAGATTTGGCGCACTGTGAGGGAGCATAAGGTCAGCGAATGCACATCTTTTCAGCCTGAGGGTGCTGATGGCTGTTTGGTCGGAGAGTTTGGGATGTGGAGCCTTGTTCTCTCTCTTTATTTCTCCGTCTTTCTCAGCATTAAGCCTGATGTGTATTCATTTTGCCAGCTCGGGTGGTTAAATGTTAATGTAGCGACAGTACAGAGGCTTTGGAAGCACTGAGACTGCTCAAGGCTCGGCTCCTACCCGCCTACTTCCTCACAAGACACTTAAAAAATGCATTACAGCACCTTTTATTCCCATTACTACTGAGTGCTGATGCTAATTAAGCAGAGCAGATAGAGATGAGCCTGTAAGAATATCGCTAAGAATCATGAGATTCTAAGTTAGAGATTTTAAAGAAGTGTCTGCAGAGTTCTTTAATTTAACCCCCCCTCTCTCTTTCCCTCTCTCTCTCTCTCTCTCTCTCTCTCTCTCTCTCTCTCTCTCTCTCAGGCTGGTAACGCAGCGCTGCATTTGGCCTGTCAGAATGGTCACACTCAGAGCTCTAAAGTCCTGCTGCTGGGAGGAGCCCGCCCAGACAGCAAAAACAACGTGAGTGTCTCTCTCTTCTCTCTCTCCCTCTCTCTCTCTCTCTCCTTCTCTCTCTCCCTCTCTCTCTCTCTCTTTCTCTCTCTCGCTCTCTCTCTCTTCTCTCTCTCTCCCTCTCTCTCCTCTCTCTCTCTCTCTCTCTCTCTCTCCTCTGTTCTCTCTCACCCTCATACATCTGTCTTTTCTCACTTCTCTCTTTTGTATCATACTCTCTGTCTCTCTTTTCTCTTTTTCACCTTTCTCCTTTTTCTGTCTTTCCTTTTTTCACTTTTCCATCTTTTTCTTTCTTTCTTTCTTTCTGCCTTTCTATCCCTTTTTTTCTCTTATTCTCTTTTCCCTCTCTTACTCTCTCGTTCCTTTCTTTTTCACTTTAATTTTTCTCTCTCTCTTACTCTCTCTCCGTCTTTTTCTCTCTTTTATTCTCTCTCTCCCTCTCTCTCTTCTTTGTTGTCTCACCCTACTCATCTTACTCTGTCTCTTTCCTCATTTTTATCTTGTTCTTTTTCACTGTTTTGTCCTTCTCTCTTTGCTTTCTCTTTTCTTTTTTGTTTTCCTTATCATTTTCCTGTTGCTCTTCTTCTCCCATCTTTTTCTTTGTCTTCCTATCTTTCTTTTTCTTTCTCTGTCCGCCTTGCTTTCCTCCCCTTTGTTTCTTCTATCTTTCTTTCTCTGTCTTTCTGCTTTTCTTTTCTTTTTTCTCTCACTCTTTTCTCCCTCTCTTTCTCTTTCCCTTTTTCCCATCTTTCTCGCTCTCTCTTTATTTCATTTTTCTTTTTCACTTTTTCATTTTCTCTCTCTTTTACTCTCTTATTTTCTTTCTGCCCCTCTGTCTCTGTCTGTCTGTCTCTCTCTCTCTCTCTCTCGCCCACAGCAAACGTTCCCCCTCTCTGGGATGTAGTGAGCGTGAAAGCAGGCGCTTAATTATGAAACAACATAACAACAAACTCCACATTTCAAACACTGTCTTCACGCCTCACTTAGCAGAGTTAGAGCAGAGAAAATGAGAGAGAGAAAGAGAGAAAGAGAAAGAGAGAGAGAGAGAGAGAGAGAAAGAGAGAGAGAGAGAGAGAGAGAGAGAGAGAGTAGTTGACTCCTGATTCTGCATGCTGTAGTGCTTGTGGTTAGACATAAAGCTGAAACGTTGAATGGGACTTACTATGCGTTGATTACTGCCTCTGCTGGGTGACTCGGGTGACTCGCTGTCTGTGTTTGTGTGTGTGCGCTGGTCTCAGGTAGGCGACACGTGCCTGCACGTCTCCGCTCGCTACAACCATGTGTGCGTGATCCGCATTCTGCTGGGCGCGTTCTGTTCAGTGAGCGAGAGGAATCAGGTGGGTTTATACTCTCAGCACACAGAACACTTTTTAATCTGCTTTTAAATCTAGTGGAAGTCTAAATTCTTAAATGAGAGGATTTAACAGCCTTGCAGTGAACTGCTTTTGCATGCTTATATCTTCATTTTTGAGCGGCTTATGGTGTTTAAATTAAACAAAACATTTTTATGTGTTTATCATTTGCTTCTTAATCGAACCCCTTAAACATTTTACTGAGTTAATAATAGTAGTAATAGTATTCAGTAACTACTGTGAAACCAATATGTAAGTTATGTCAATCTAAGACTGTAGTCCTAAAGGGGGAATTCTACTGATTTTTCAAAACTTCTAAATAGTTCAGTCCTCGAGATGTGAACAGTCATTCTGATTGGTTTTATGTGAAATAGTTCATTGTAGAGAAACTTGACAACTCAGACTTCTTTACAGTGGGGGTGATAGGAACCAGGAGTTTGCTGCAGGGCCAAAAAACTTTTCTTTCTTTTTTTGTTAACATATTTTGAACGTGCCAGCTTCTTTATGGTGTGTGAAATTTAAATAACGAATGGACAAATAGAATTAGCGTAGAATCACTTGTAATGAAATCTTTTTACATAATTTACAAAAAAAATTGGAAGATTTTTTTTGGGACTGTGACCATATATATGTGCACATTGTGTGATGAGGGGAGGCCTATAGTGCTGTGAAAAAGTATTTAACACCTTTCCAATTTCTTCTGTTTTTGCGAATTTGTCACACTTGAATGTTTCAGATTCTACTTCAGATCAGACTACTTTTAATATTAGACATGGAAAACCCAAGTAAACATAAAATGCTGTTCCTGTTGTGGAACTTCTTGGAAGACATGGGTCCTGTTACATCTGGCATAAAGCTAACACCACATTCCGCCATAAGAACATCATACCAACAGTGAAACATGGTGGTGGTAGTGTGATGGTCTGGGGAAGCTTTGCTTCTGCAGGACTGGGACAACTTGTCATAATTGATGGAAACATGAATTCTGCTCTCTATCAGAGAATCCTGAAGCCGGATGTTCGTCTGAGATGCTGGGAAAAGACTTTAAACGGGCAGCTCATGCTCAAAAACCCTCCAATGTAGCTGAATTTAAACAATTCTACAAAGAAGAGTGGACCACAATTCCTCCACAGTGCTGTAAAAGACTCATCACAAGTTATTGCAAACATTTGAGTGTAGTTGCTACTGCCAAGGGTCGGACAACCAGTTATTAGGTTGGGGACGATTAGAAAAAATACTTTTTCACAGCACTGTAGCTAGTTGGTGGGAAATGGCCATGACTGAATGGTGAAGAAAAATTGGACAAAACTCCAAATGTTTGATGGTCAGTGCATAATATGAATGGTGGATGTTGTAAGTCTAAAATGGTCTGTTTTGTCTGCGCTGTAGGCCGGGGACACGGCCCTGCATGTGGCGGCGGTTCTGAATCACAAGAAGACAGCGCGTCTGCTGCTCGAGGCTGGAACTGACATCAGCATCCGGAACAACGTGAGCTCCTCACACACACACACTCCGCTCTTATTCACTGCCCTTGCGTGTCCATCTCTTGACTAATACTCAGTCAGGATTACCCCAAGGATGCTGCTGATGTTGACATGGAGTAATGATGGACAGCCGTGTGTCTTGTGTCATCACATTGAATTCAGAAGTGTTCTGTATGTCCTCCCACTGGGCATGCAGACCCTACTTAAACATTTGTTTGCAGGGGCTTTGTACGGATTTCTGAGCAGATATATCACTGAGTGTGTTTACATGCACTCAATAATATAACTGCAGAAAGTCAGATTTTGTCAGTAATCCGATCAACATGTTTACATGCACTTGAGTAATAGTGTAACATAACTTAAAACTCCAAACTTCATGCCGCAGCTTTTTTTTAAACATCAACCCACTTTACTTGAAGGTATGAACATACACCATCTAGAAGATCAAGAATATTTAAATCCTTCATTTTGTCAAGCATGTAGTTGGTTTTGGCGCCGCTCCAAAAGTGTTCTGCTGCCATCTCGCGGCTGCTTGCTTATTTCCTGTACCGCTGTCTTTTTTCACACATGCTCAGACTGAGAAACCTGAAAGAAATCAGAGTAAGAGTTTAGATGCACTGAGAAATCTGATTACTGAGCTAAAATTCAGCTCTCTTTATCAGATTTCTTAATCGGATTTCTAGATCTAAAAATCACTGTGCACTGTTTACGTTACCATTTGAATAATCAGATAACGGCAGAAATCCGATTATGATCGGAGTATTAAGTGCACGTAAACACACTTACTGTGATCCACCTTCCTATCTCTTAAACTTTTTCAGAAATATTTAGGAACTATATATGAACAGATTTTTCCATCAGCAGCAGTCACTGCTAATAGCTCAGTTCAAATCTAGTGAAAGTGCCACTGAGACTAACCATTTGTGTCTCAAAATGAGGTAGCGAGGAGAGGAGGGATGGGGAGAGGGATTTTAATCTCACTCTGTTTTTTAATTTGACAGTGCACATTTATGACACAAATATGGAGAAATGTAAAATTGTGCATCAAATCACACATTTATTTTAGGTCTATTAATAATAGAATGTTATCATTTTTAGGCAGCTGTGGCAGGAAGTTCACTAATAGTAACTAGCAAAATACTGTTATGTTTATTTATACAGTGTAAGCAGGCTACTAACACTTGAAATAATACTTAATAACTTTTTCAACCAGGCTTACGAAACGTCCGATTCAACACACAGTTGTATTTTACCATTTTTTTTACGTTTCTGTTATTTCTATTATGCGTTTACATCTTAGCTGTCTGTGTACGGTTGGTTGCTTAGTTATAGACATAACAATTAATTATTATCATTAATTGAGTAGATTAAGATGCACTAATTTGCGATAAGATGTTTAAAGATATAGTCCCTGAATTTGTGAAAATTCTTATCTTGAGCATGTCAGATCTTAACGTAGGACCAGGTTGAAGGCCCACTCCCTACTTGGAGATATTCATTCACCCTTTATTTTCTATACAATTGTTCAGCAGTGACTGTGACATTACAGTATATGAATGATACTGGTAAAAATTTTAAAACAGCTTTTGTGAAACGTCATGTAGTCAGGAAGCAGACATGTATGGGCTTATCTGTCATACCTGTGTGTGGGGGTGTGTGTGTGTCTGCAGAGGAATTCCAGCTCTGCGGTTTGTTAATCGTATGTTATATTTATGGTGTGTGTGTGTCTTCAGAGAGGAATTCTCTGTTTTTGATGTTTATGATGTGTGTTTAGAGTAGAATTCCATCTGTGGAGAAGGGGTTTCTGTGTATGTGTGGGTGTGTGTGTGTGAGGCTGAGTGTTTTTATATTTTAAATTTTATATATTATATATATATATATATATATATATATATATATATATATATATATTTATTTATTTATTTATTTATATGTTTCCTCACATTGAAAATAATAATTTGTACTTAACGGCTGTTTTGACAGGAAAGGAAATAAATGAAGGGTGGTCTCTGACTTTTGCACAGTACTGTGTATGATGAACATAGGACATATTATTATTACATGCATCTTTAGATATATATATTGCGTATGAGGCATATGGTTACTTTCATAAATGTAATGCAGATAGGAAAGTCTGACACATTGACGTATAAAAACAAACCTCTGTGTATGTGTGTTTTTTGTTATAGGCAGGACAGACTGCACTGGACCAGGCCAGAGAGCACAATAACCCTGAAGTAGCACTGCTACTGACCAAAGCACCACAGGTGACCACACACACACCATGATATTTCCGTCATTGATTTCCCTTGGTGTTAAATGTGCTGGCCTGTTTGATAATATTTGCAGTAATTTGCTGCTGTACTGTTTGAACTGGGCTCATAGCGTCATCAGTTTCAGGTGAAGTGCGTCAAAACAGGCCTTTATCAGCAGCCGATCAGAGTCAGGCTGTAAAACTGAAATCTAATACAAGTACAGACAGAGACAGGGAGGGCACAGCGGCACTAAACTGATATTAGTGGGCTGTGCTGAAAACACAGCAATGCAGAATGCACACAGCAAAAGGCCCACTATAAAATCCAGTTATACAGAATTCCAGTTACATTGTAAAATACGTTGTATAAAAAAAAAGCTGAGTTTAATTCACGCAGGTGATTTTCATTGTGGAGGTTATTATCTTATGAACCACTGAAGTCTAGATGTTATTCTATAGTTATTATTCTATAGTTTTTTCTGTACATTTGATTTATATTATATAATTAACCATGGTTGCTATGTATTTAAGTACATAGTTCATTAATTAATTAAGACCCCTCACAGTGAGGAGGAGGTCCTAGAACCAAAACCATAGTGATTTGGACCATTCATATTCAGCGGGAGGTCACAGAATGAGCAGTGCAGTGATTAGGACCAAATATAATCAGAAGAAGGTCTCAGAATGATGATGTGGTGATTAGGACCAATCACAGTCAGGAGGAGGTGTTAGAATGAATGATGTGGTGATTAGGACCAATCTTAGTCAAGAGGAGGTCTCCGAATGAACCATGCCGTGATTAGGACCAATCACAGTCAGACGGAGGTCTCAGAATGAATGATGTGGTGATTAGGACCAATCAGAGTCAGGAGGAGGTGTTAGAATGAATGATGTGGTGATTAGGACCAATCACAGTCAGGAGGAGGTCTCAGAACATACAGTATGAGGATTTGGACCAATCAGAGTCAGGAGGAGGTGTTAGAATGAATTCTTAATAATCAGATAACTGCAGAAAATCAGATTTTGTCAGTAATCCGATCAATACGTTTACATGCACTTGAGTAATCAGATGATGGGGAAACTCCGGGTCTACATGAGTCAGGTAGTAATCGGATTTCTGCTTTGCAACCAGCCAGTAAACTCACAGAAGAAGACGCAACGTAAACATATTATAAAACTCAAACTTCATGTTGTGGCTTTTTTTTTTAAACATCGCAGCACTTCACCTGAAATATGAACATACATCATCTAGAAGATGAAGAATATTTAAATCCTTCATTTCGTCAAGCATGTCGTTGGTTTCAGCATTGCTCCAAAAATGTTTTGTTGCCATCTGGCAGGCACTATATTGCACGCTGCTTGCTAATTTCCGGAGCTTCAGTCTGTTTTCACACATGCTCAGACTGAGAAATCCGAAAGAAATCAGAGGAAGAGTTTACATGCACTGAGAAATCTGATTACTGAGCTAAAATCCAGCTCTCTTTAATGGATTTCTTAATCGGATTTCTAGACCTTACTCTGATCTAAGAAATTGGAGTATGCTGTTTACATGACCATCTGAATAACGAGATAACTGCAGAAATCCGATAATGATCGAATTATCACTCTGTGACAGGTTCTAGTCCACACACTTTTAGTTCTGAGACCTCCTCCTGACAGCGATTTGTCCTAATTACTACGCCATTCGTTCTGAGACCCCCCCGCTGACTGTTAAGCAGGCTTCTAGCAGTGCTGAGTTCTTCTTAAATATACTAACAACAGTGTGTTCACCAGCAGTTCGGTTTCATTTAGTTCTTTAGTCGTTTGAAGCATATTGACAACTTAAGAGTTGAGTTAGCTACTTCTTTTCACAAAGTGGAGTCATGTTGAGCCTTTCCTGGTGTAGATTCTATGCCTGTGTATTGTATTAAAGTAAAGCAAGTCAGGCTGAGCAGTAAGCTCAGAAATTATTAATGCTCAGCTCCCAAAGGTAAACTCATGCTGGTCTAGCCTTTATTTATATGCAGAGAAGAAAACAAAATTAAGGTTTTTATGCTGGAGTATTCAGACAGCTGAGGTTGGTTTGTTTACTCTTTGTTTGGGTATCAGGCTTTGTACTTTTCCCTGAGTGAGGCTCATGTGCATGTCGTTCGTCTGTGTTCAGATTCAGAGCTTCTCCCGCGGGAGGAGTGTGAGGAAGAGGAGGGACAAGCTGAAGGCTGAAGGACGAGCACAGTCCGTCCCACGGGATGAGATGCTGCCGAGTAAGGTAGAAAAGAGAGAGACCACACACACACACTCCTCTCCTTTTATTCTTCCTTTCATCCAGAACTAAACACACATGCCCACATATACCCAACCAGAGCAGCGAGACACGAACACAGAAATAGAAAATGAATGCTTTGACAGCAAATGCTCAGAGGGAAGGTCTTCACGTGGACACACACATACACACTCGCGTTGGTCAGTCTTTGATCAGTGAGCTGTGAAGCAACATCCTTCGAGGTCTCGGGTTATACAGGGGTCAGTTATTCAGAGCAAACACTAACATACAGTGTGACAATGAGAATTAGTGGAAATATATGTATCTAATGATATGATTGACTTTTTTTAAATTTATCTTTCCACATGCTGGTCCATTTTACTCTGACCAGTGTGGACACATGTGCACACTAACTATTCAAGAGCAACTACTTAACTTGTCAGGGGCAATTAATTAGTAAATTAGTAATTAGTAAAACAAGACTAACGAACTCTGAATGTGGTGCCAACAAAACATTGACAGAGTTAAAAGCCTGTAATAGTGTTTGGTGTTAATATTTTTGTGTTCTAGGTGTGCTTAGCTTTACCTCCATATATTTCAACACAGACTTGCATGTAACCAGTATTTTCACCTAAGAATCAACAGGGCTGCAGTGTAAAACTGCTGCAATAGAAAATTATTAGCAGTGTATTTCATTGCTTCTTTATCCAGTGAGTCAGTGACCTGCTGACAATAAGCTGTAACTCGCTTGTGTTTCCAGGAAAGCATGTCCCCAGCAGAGGACACCCCCAGTAGTGAGCAAACAGCACGGAGACAAGGGGAACGCAGGAGCGACACCCCTGACACCAACGAAGAGCACCCTAAAAAGAGTCGCGACAAGAGCAAGGTCAAAGATAAGGTAAGATTTGTTATCATGGTGCATCTGAGTGGTGCAACCGTCTAAGTCAGGGGTGTCCAATCTTATCCACAAAGGGCTACACGTTTTTACTCCAACAAAGCAGGAGATCACCTGATGAAATGTTTGAAGACTAAGACCAACTGATTAATAAAGTGGAGTCAGCTGTGCTCCAGCTTGTTTGGAGTGAAAACTTGCAGCCACACCGGCCCTTTGTGGATAAGAGTGGACACCTCTGGTCTAAGTGTTGGCCCTTTCTTCATGAGATTGCGAGTTCGATCCCTGGTGATGCTACAGCCATCCGTGCATGGGAGTCCAAGAGAGCACAGTTGGCCTTGCTATCTCTGTGCATGGCTCATCACTAGCCAGCGCAGGCATCTCTGGTGGCGAACTGGAGGTTATCGTCCTCCTCCAAATGCCCACAGCTGTCAGCTGGCAATTTTAAGAGATGCAGTGGCTTGTTTCACATGACTTGGAGGAAGCTCGTATTTGTCTTTGCCCTCCTAGCGCTGGTGGTATCATGTGATTGGGGTCTTAACTAGTCCTAAGTAGTGGGTATAAGTAGTGGGATAATTTAACCCCCCTCCTAAGACGCACACTGTTCCATTGAGGAACATCATTGTGGCAACTGTACTGTGACCTAATATGTTATAAGGCACGCTAATGAACACTTTAGATTTCTATTTGATGTCACTAGAAGTGGATGTCTCTCTCCCCCCTCAGTCTCTCACTAGATAACTCTGCACTGCTAAAACAAGCCTGACTACACTGGTGACAAGAGAATATAACAAAACATATTTGTTTTCCACCAAGCTCTTTAAGGGCCCATATCTTACACTGAAGGATTACCCCTTATAATGTAGAAAGTGTGGTTTTAATTCATTTTTACATGACCATTTTCCAGCCTGTCTTTATTCCTTTAGAATTTAAACGAGCTGTTAAAGAGTATGACTTTAAGAGTAAACTGGCTGAAACACTCTTTATAACTTCAGCGTGAACAGGCGGGGTTAAACAGCTGTAGGCTGAATAGAGGGAAATCTGTGAATGATTTGGTTCTCGTGACATCAAAAAAACAGGCCTTTTTTAGCACAGGTTCTATATATGTACTGTAAGGACTAGATAGTGAATAGTGTGTTTAGAAACTGTGCCAGTGTTTATATGTTGCATCAAAGTCTTTCATTTCCAAAAAGCGAACTTCTAGAATATTAACTTTCTATTAACTTTCATGAACAAATTCATTTTAAACTTTAAAGTAGATATTTGTCTGACTTATCTGTAGACATGATTGTAGAGGCCAGTATATTAGTGACAGGTCATGAACGCAGAGCTGATTGTGTGATTTTGCGTATGTTTGTTTTTCATTTCAGCCGTCACTGTCGGACCCTCTCTCCAGGAGGGAGAATAAGCGTAGTGAGCAGAAGAAAAAGAGCAAAACAAGGCCTTCCCCTCCCATCGGCGTTCCTCCGCCACACAGCTACAAAGCTTATCAGCTCTATACACTCTACAGGGACAAAGACGGCAAGATCATGCAGGTAACGCTTTAAAGCTCTGGTAACGCCCTTACCAGGGACCTCAATTAAAGGGATAAGTCACCCAGCCTCTGCTAACATGGCTAATAGTGAGTGACATTTGTATCACTGTCGATTACCAGAGACAATCATTTCAAAATGTTTTTCAGTACCTAGAAAAGAGTGTAAACTGTCAAATGACGTTTTGTTGATTTTCTAAAGTGAAAATAAGTTATCACATCCTCTCTAGAGAAGTCACAATTACTGTATTTTTGCTGAAAAAAAAACATAAAAAAGTTATAGCACAAGCTTTAAGTTTTATTACTGTCCAACATGTTAAACTCAGCAAATAAATAGAAACGATGCAGAAAAATTGGCAGACAAATGCCATGTTTAAGTTCTCTGTAGAGAATGTGTTATTTCCACTTAGAAAACCAACAGAACATGTCATTTAACCATGGCTGTTCAAAGGGTTACATACGACTGTAATTCCAAAGTCATAATAGAAGTCACTGGGCAGTTGCTGAATTCTGTTGGTAATAATTATGCAAAACATATATTTTTGTTTTTCCTTACAATGAGTCCATGATAAACTACATACCCAGTTGTGTAATGATGTTGTTTGGTGAAGACCTTAATTGCTGGCCTCCTGGTTTTGCATTAACTACAAAGTTTTGCGTATGACATTTTAAGCTCTTAATGGCTGAGGTCTGGCATAATTTACTGATCTATTAAAGCTTTATAGCCCATCCAGGCCACTTCAGTCAGCCGAGGAAGGCTTACTGCAATCGCCTAGGATCACTACAGCTCAGCTGGTGAAAGATCGTTTTCTTATAGAGGTCTTAAACTCTAGAAAAAATAAGGAATGCAAACTTGACTAGTGTTTTTAAATCAAAATTACAAAATATTTATTCAGGTTAGCAAATGAAGTGTTGTGGCTCATTTTCATTTTCATTTCATTTGTCATTGGCTGTTATTTTGGAATGTAGTTTTTTTTATCTGTTCATTGTTTTACTTACATTCCTGTGTAAAGTGAACATTGAACTCAAAAACTAAAATAGTGCTATGTACATAGAGATGTATTATTATTAGTATAAACATTGCATTACTATAAACTAACCTGCCACTTAGGATAAGTCAAGTCAGGTTTGAGAAATACAGTAAGACCAGCTGGAGTAACCGGAGCTGCATGTTTCAACCCAAGTACAAGACTGAGCTGAATGTCTCCCACAAAGTGTAAACATGAAATGTTATAAATAATGCCATCATTTAAAGTGATGTTTCTGCATATACAGTATCCTGTATTGCTTACTATTTCCAGGATTCTTTAAAAACTGCATCTGACACAATGCTATTGTGTAACCCTCTAAAAGAGTGATTTCCTGTTTATGCTGTGGTCCTGCAGGCCCCTCTCAATGGCTGCAGGTGTGAACCCCTCATCAATAAGCTGGAGAACCAGCTGGAGGCCACCAAAGAGGAGATGAAGTCAGAGATCCACACTGTACAGGAGCTCATGAACAACAAGATGGGACAGCTGGACCGCAAGAATAAACACCAGGTGCACTTACATACACTGACTCGCACCTCTTCAGTTACATTACTGAAGATCCATAGACCTGACCTGCATTTTGAGCTAAGTAGCTTACTACAGTCTTCAATTAACACTTTAAGGGACTTGGATGTGGAATGCGTATGTATTATAAGTTCAAATACACTAAATATTTTCATACACATACATGGAAATACATTCCTCCCTGGCAGCAGGTTTCTTGGATAGTTTGTCAGTAGGAATGACATCTGTTAATTTATTTGCCTCCACATTTTAGTTTAATATGAATACTAGTTTGACTCGATGTCTAGTAATATCTGAAGCTGGGCATCATTTTGTAGTCAACGTCATGCCTAGATAAGGAACTCAGAGTCAGTTTTTCTCAGTGGAAAAATGAATGCTGCTTTCAAACATCTCCACTGTCGCACCCTGTGGTTAAAAAAAGCTGATTTGCTGTGTTCTCTATACATTTTTCTGCTGATTGTCACTGGATACTCTGAATTATGAGATCACTGAATAATAATCGTACATACATACATACAGGTCTCCTATTAAATTTCTGGTCTGTAATAACACCAGGATCACCAGTGCTCCTAATTCCAGCGTAACTACCACAATTATCAGAGCTTGCTTGTTTGTGTGTAGTATTTGTTGAGGTTGAAAGTCTTGTAAACAGCAGTGTTAGCATGCATGTAGCAGTATTCATATTTCTGCTTATTAATGACCTCATAATTCAGAGGGTTCAGTGAAATTTTGTGGGAAAATGTACGTAGGGCAAAGCCACAGCATGTGAAAGTGGCAGTTTTTGGAAACACAGTTCATTTTTCCCATAGAGAAAAGCAGCTTAGACCTAGAATTCCTCATATGGGTGTGATGACAACGACAAAATGATGACACAACTTTAGAGTGTCTGTTCTGCAGAAGCTAACTTTGTTTCTTGTGATTTCAGATCATAACTTTAGACAAGAAGACAATAGAGAGTGTCTGCTGAAATGATGGGGTGGCGTTGTTTCATCTAAAGATCTGAACTTGTGAATTTGTGGGTCTATACTGCACAAATTAATCATATTTCTTGCTGATTTCAGATCAGAGCTTTAGACAAAATGACGCTAGAGAGAGTGTCTGCTGAAAGGACGGAGTGTTTACATCGCATCGATCAGAGAGCCAAACAGGAGCGCCTGGAGGGTGAAAAGAGACAGGTAAACTGCACATCTCACAGACTAAAGTGCTAAAGACTTGCCACTCTCCCTGTACCTGTGGATTAAGTGGCCAGTGTGCTAAAATAAAATGTTTGATTAATCACTATGAGTAATGAGGAAAAACTAGGATCTGAGGGCCAGATTTGATGACTTTTGTAACAGACTCTTGGCTATATAAGCCCTGACTTTGGGAGTAACCCAGTAAATTTTGATTTAAAGAGATATGCTTAATGTGAAATAATTCAAAGAATTATTATAGTTTTGAAATTTTCATTACTTTGTATTTTTATTTGGTTTTTCATTTTGGTTTTTGATTTTAGTTTACTTTCCCTTAGTCTTAAGGGTGAATAAAAAGTTTCAGTTTACTTTTCTTTTTTTGAAAAGAAGTAGTTATTGTTTAGTTTGTGCTAGTAGGTATTTGATATGAGTAGAATAAAATCAAATCAACAGTAGACTGCGCTTGGTTCAGCTCGTGCATTCCATAAAGAGAACCAGACACAGAAGTATTCACTTCTACACTCATTTACACACCAAAAATATGAGAAGGTTTTTTTTCTCAATAATGCCATTTTGTTTTAGTTTGTTCTGCAGTGGACATTATACAGCGTGATTCAGAAAGATTCATTTGATTTCAAAATAATTTATTTCACTTGTAAATCATTACAGAATAATGCAGTACATTGTAAATGGTGAGCATAAAGTTTATTATGTAATTTTACAAGTGTTCAATATGAACCTCCTCCAGCTGTACGGACATCAACGCCATAGTCAATCACATTCATCCCAAACTCGATTGAGCATGTCGGGTGTCACTGCAGTCACGGCTCTTTCAGTGCGATCATCCAGTGTTGTGGAACCAACGAAGAACGCTCTGAGCCTTTGGAGGTTCACTGACGACTAAAATCACGTTGCACAGTTATGACTGATTCACTCTTATTAAAGTGGAGAACGCAAAACGCTTTCTGCTCAGGGGTCACATCTCCTCACAGACTGAAGGGAGCCATCTTCGGTGACAGTCGCTATGTGACTGGTTCCTAGGCGTCTCACAGTTGAAAAAATATGGTGCTTTGAAATCGGGTTAATCTTTTTGAATCACCCTGTAGTTTTATTTATAGAGTGTCTGTGTTTTTGAAAACCGTTGTTTTTTCATTTTTATTATAGTTAACAAGCACATTTTGCTGCTAGTTTTTGCTATAGTATAGTTTTAGATACTATAATAACCTATAATTTAGTTAACTATAATAACCCTGTGTATCCCAAAACATTCACAGGACATGTACGTTGACTCTCCTACAGAACTGTGATTGCTTTCTAACCCTGGTTCTGCATATTTTATTGTTTTCCCACTCTAACAGACCTGATCCAACTAATTATTTAATTACTTACTCCAGGATTGAGAATAGGGCATTGAGAATTGGCATTCAGGTGGCAATAATATTACCGTAAGGTCTATGAGTTTTTAGTCATTTATATTTTCTACAAACCTCAAGGTTGCTCCATTCAAAACTGTGCATATGTGAATATAAAGTAATGCTGTATTTACATAGCTGCTAATATAATCCCCTTTAATCAGTCTGTGGGATCTCAAATTTCTGATTGACGTCATAGTTTTTCTCCTCCTGCTAATGCTCTCCCATTGTAGAGAGGAAGGAGACCAAGTTCTACCACCCTAACCAAGTAAATGATACATGAGAGACTCTTCCAAAGCATCCATCACTTTGGGATTTGGCAAGTGTTTAATATGAATGTGTATGCTATGAGACTGAATACAACCAGTAGCAGCTGCGGCATTCGCCTGGAAAATTATGGAAATGTGTATCTGCATGGGGCTAAAATGATCAGACCATGGGGTTTGGTAAAAAAACAGAAGAAATTTTGAACAAAATGTGAGAGGGGCGTAGACTTACCAAGGGCTCAAACTGACTGTGAAATTTCTGCTTCAACCCCTCATGAAGGCGAAACTCAAAACTAGGGACAGTGGTGCCGTAAGCATTGTCTGACAGATAGTAAGCCTGTCGTTAGCCCATGGATGTAACGTAAGTGAGCACTGCTGAAAAGTCCTCCAGCAAAATCCAATTAAGCATGTAGATGTGTGTCACGTGTGCAGAGAACTCAAACGATGGGGTCAAAAAAACATTACCTTCTGTAAGGGAAAAACAGAACTGCTAATGATAACATTTTTCTGTTCGGCTTGTTTTGCTTGTGTTATTGTTTGTACTCTAGTCAATAAAAGACCTTTAACTATTTGGGGGTTGGTTTAAAGGCCACATACCCTTTTCTGGGGTGAATTACGCAAAAGTTCAGCACCAAAAGCTTAACAAGTTGCCCCCAGATGTCTATTCTCACATGAAATCACATCTGGCGTGCATGAGACAGACATGGCCAATTTGGATGGAAATAAAATCACAGAGTAGCATCTGTAAAAGAAGAAATTACCCCAGGACCCTCTGTCACATCAAAGGTTCTGCAGTGTGCAAAGCATATTGCTGTTGCAGTATTTACCAGTGAAATCACAATGTTTTTTGTGGATGCCTAGTTGAGGGCCAGTTTTGCTCTGTGTGTAATTGTCTCTCTTCCTCCTCTCTGGATATTTAAGCAGGCCTCAGTGGTGAGTGAGCTGAAGAACTGGTGCCTGTTAAAGCTGCAGCGGATGGAGGCACGTCTGGCTGCAGACCCCCGCAGTATCCCCCTGCGCCGCTCCTCCTCCCTGGCCGAGACGCTCTCTGAGTGTGGCCAGGATGAGTGCGTGACCTCGAGTAGTCACCCAAGTGGTCATTCAGCTGGTCCCCATTGTCTGGTGCCCACAACCCCGAACGAAGCCGGGGAGGGAGAGACAGCAAGCGGCCCGCAAGAAGACGGGTCAGCCAATCACTATTTTGTGGTTCAGGTGGACAGCTCTCCAGGTAGGATACAAGCACACAGACGGTTCAGGTGGAGGTTGTGACAGATGGTCAGATGTGACAGATGCACGTGTACTTTGTGAACCAGAAACCAATACAAACATTCTCTCTCGCCCACTGATAAACAAAACAGGCCTTTTGGTTCATCACATGCACACAGTGACTGTGCGCAGAGCCTTTTGCTCTCTCCTCTCACAGATGAAGGCTTATGTAAGTGTTATATAATAGAAGCGAGTATGATTCTCAGGCCACATCTCCTGTGGGGTAAATAAGGCAATATAACCAAAATAGAATAACAGCTTCACACACTACCGTCGTCAGCTGTGCTCCCTGTGCCCCCTGGGGACCCACCACCAAGCCATTGTTTTGTGTTAAAACCAGAAAACAAATGAAAATTTAACAAGGTTTCAACCCTTTAAAGGACCCCATAGTATGGAAGATTGAAAAGTTTTGAAATATACTGTTCGCTTCCCAGTCCATATATGGAAACTATGCCACAAAAACAGAACATTTTAAGTCATTGTTTCTGTGATGTCATGAAATCCAAACCTTTACATATATCCACCTGTTCAGCCTGTACAGCAGTTTAGCTATGCTGAATTTATAGTGTTTCAGCCTGGACTGCTTTTTGAATAAGACATCCAACTAGAAAAGAGCTTATTTAAAGGCACAGTAACAAAAACAGCCTGTTTAATTGTAAAGAATAAAGAGAGGTTGGAAAATGGTTATACTTTACAGGGAATTATGGCCATTTTTTGTACATAAAACGAAACAAACATAAGTGGACTTTGTGGAGAAAAATAAAATACAAGGAAAATTAAGATATGGGCCAACTTAACTCTAAGAACTGTGAATAACAGTTGCTTAATTGAATGATTCTTAAATTCCACAATGAATTCCACAGATGTTTCCAAATGCATGCATAATTACATCGTTAAGATGTAAACAAAGTTCTGCTGAAGTTTTGATGTGAAATGTGCCATTCTAGAGAATCTTACAGAGTCAGAATTGTTTGCAGTGAAAGTGATGGGAACCAGATGTCCAAAGCTTCTAAAAGCTACATCACACAAGGTTTTGCAGGAAATCGTCATAAATATGCTGCCTGATGCATAATTTTGAGATCAGGTTTTGGCCTACAGTGTATTTGTTTAATCCATTTATGGTGAAGGGGTGCATGCAAAGGCAAAATAGTCCCCAAAGAAAACTTAATTTGTTTCTTTTACCTTTATTTTACCCCGTTATCAACAAAACAGAACACGTTTAGGTTCACTGCTCATTTTGGATAGTAAATGGGCTGTAATTGCACGACATTAGACATTGTGACCCCGGTTTCCGAACATCACCACTGTAAAGAAATCTGGGTCAGACCACTCTGACTTTGTTTACCTCTCAATTTTGACAATTAGAGGGTTTCTCTTTGAGCTTATTAACTGAATACTAAGCCTATAATTATGCCCCATTCATGCCCTCTGCTTTATGTTTCATTTATTCAACACAGTATCAGTGAATGCACCATACTACTGTTAAAAGGTGCTCAGCTACTGTCTTGTAACTATATAACCTACGTCATATTTTGTAGTTGTTACTGAACAATTCACAGTAGTTATGGGATTCACTGAATAAGAAGCCTGCTGTTTAATCATGGTGTTTATTAGAAGGCTAAAGCATTGATTATGCCTCTCCTTTTCCAGATGACAAGCAGAACATCCGAGACACATCCTGCCCGCTGGCCCAGGACAAGTCCGCGCCATCCTCTCCCCTCGTGGTCCGGCCGAAAGAGCGTGCGCTACTCTCTGCTGACCCCCACAGGTTGCAGAAGGAACTGCAAGACACGGGTCAGCAGGAACTATGGTTAAAACCCAGCCGGGCCAGCAGCCTCTCGCCGGCCACAGAACGCCGCTGCAGCAGCCGACAGAACCACGACCAGGACAGGCAGCCCAAGGAGCGAGGTAGGCACCATAAGAGGCATTCCCAGGGCAGGACTAAAGCCCGAGGGGGCACAAAGACCCTGGAGGTGTTTGGGGAGCGGCCGGCGAACGCCGGGGAAGCCACGTTCGCGCAGGAGCGGGACAACATGCACGCGCTGGAGGTGACGCAGTACTTCTTTGAGGCCGTGTCCACGCAGATGGAACGCTGGTATGAGAGGAAGATCTACGAAGCGCGGATGCAGGCTGACCAGCGAGCGCAGGCTGACCGGGCCGCATTGCTGGAGAGGATCACCTGCCTGGAGGATGAACTAAGGCTGCTCAGAACTAACAAACAGGAGGACAGCTAACAGATGCAGCAGCAGCACAGTGCTGTAAGGCCTTTTCACGGCAATTTTTTTTTTTTTACGGAAGAAAAAGATGCAAATACAACTTCTGAAAATATCCATCTTTCACTTGAAGTCTACATGGAGCCAGCTCAGTTTTCTGTATTAAATATCAGGTTGAGCAGAGTTACACTGTTTTGATTGCTCCAAGCCTCAAAAACCCCATCCAAAAAAGCCTTTGGAATCACGTTTTAGAGTTTAATTTGCCTTTTTTGCAGAATATGGATTAGCCAGTCACACTGACCAAAATAAACATGATAATTTAGTCATTGCTACTACTTGATGAAACAATTTCTTTGTATTTTTCCCACCTTGTGGGAGTTTTTCATTAAAAAAAGTACTTTACATGGAAGTTTCAGTGCGTTAAAAAAATTTTCTCTGTCCGTAAAAATAAGAGAAGGCCTCTAGGCTGTAGGCATGCTGGAGTAGCTTCTGTAAGAAAGCTAGCCTAATATATGCTGCTAACCTTGGAGTAGAAGATGCAGGACAAGCTAACATATGGAGCTAATGCTGGATTAGGACATTTTTTCCCCCAGACAGAAAGAAAAAACACTAAGGCTACGTTCACATCAGCCCTATAGCTCAGTTCTGATTTTTTTATACTCACATTGGAGTCATTTCTTTCTTAATGGAACACATTTGCGTTTGCGATCTGTTACAGATGTGAATCTTTAGCCCTGAAAGGACCTGCCTGCACCCATTCTCTGAATAAATAAGGGACAATTTAACCAGCTTTTCACAATTTTTGAATAATTTAATGGTCAAGATGTAAACAGTCATTCTGAGTGGCTTCATGTAAAATGCTTCATTCTAGAGAATCGTTCTCAGTAGTGGTGATAGGAACCAGACGTCTGAAGAGCTTTATGCCTGTAAAAGCCACCTCACTGAAAGCTATTACATAAAATGCTTACAGATGTGCTGCCTGATGCCTAAGACTTTGTTTCATGACAGGTTTGAGATAAAGTATTGACCTAAAATGGATTTTATATACTCCAGTGGTGGAGTGATATATGTAGCACCTCTGTTTGTGAAGCAAATAACATCCAAAGAAAAGTGATTTTTTCAGATGTAATACTTTTTTAGTATGTATAAAGACTCATAAGATACGTGTAGATCCACTGGTCATTTTTGTTTGGTTAAAAATCCTATATCTGCATGGTAGTCGTCATGACCTCTGGTTTCTATGACCACAAGTGTAAAAACTTAAGAGTCAATAAGGACATAAAAACACTCTGAATTACTCTGGTTACATCTGAACTAACTAAATTATACAGAAACACATATGAGGCCATGTATCGGATCTAGAAGCACATATGAAATGAGCACATATGAAAAGATTCCTGCTGTCTTAAAGCAGATCAGTCACATTTAGGCAAAAATCCGATTTGCACCTCTTCAACCCCATAATGTGAACGTAGCCTTAGTTGTTGTCAGATGAAGAAACTGGTTTGTGGAGTGGACAATTGGAACTTAAGCTACAGTACATGCTGTAAACATTTCCACTTTCTTTAATTGCTCTCCTCACTCGGGCATCCATGACTCATTGACAGAATTCAGTACATCAGATTTAAGGCCATAGATGTTAGAGATTTTAGTGTTTACATTAAAAATAAATTGAAAGTCATACACTGGTAGTCATCCAAACTTCTGTGGGGGAGCAGAGGTTTGACTAACAGTCACTTTCAAAGAAACAGAGAAGCTAATGTTGTGTATAAGCTGTTAAGGGAGAAACCATCCCTAGTTGTCTTCTTGCTAATGAAATATCCACAGACACTACACTGCTGCCCATGCTGGTGGTTATGCTTCGTAATATTTGTCGTTTACTAATTTTTGGTGCCAAAATGAAAGTCAGAGATGATTTAGGCACTACAAACAACCCGTTTACTTCAAAATATGACAAGCCAATTCTCCACACTGCTCATGGAGAGAACGAATATTAAAACCGAAAATACTGAATATTAAAAACAGAAATAAACCAAACACTTCCAGCTTACAGTAAACAAAGTCTTTCGCTTGCCTCAATTTTTGCATGTGCATCAAATGGCAGGCATGTCACTGCACTCTGGTTACATTTTCATCTTGTTTTTGTATGTTTTCATCAAATTATCGATCGCGTAAAATGCTTATGTCTGACTGTGTTTCCCACCAATCATTTAAACGACCATGTGCATTAGATATAATAATGTCTTAACATGAGGAAACTTGATTTTTATAGTGCGAGTGTTCTAAGTCTCTATCCTCACCCAGATTTAACCCACACTCAGACGATGCTTAGACTTGTAGAGGAGGTCCCATTTCTTTTAAACCAGCTTTCTTTAACATCCTTATTATCTTAAAAGCTTAAAGCAGAATTCCAAATTCTGTATAATTAAATAGCTAAGATGCAAAGAAAATCATTGAGTGCTCACAGCTGTGGTGATGGGAACCAGACGTCCAAAGATTTAAATGCCTCTAAAAGCTACAGCACAGAAACTTATTACGTTAAATGGTTACGTATGCATTGCCTGATGCCTGAAACATTGTTTTACAACAGTTTTGAACTAAGCTTTGTTAAAAAAAAATATATATATTGTTTTTTTCCTGGAAGAGAGGTACATACTGGGCATTGTAAGGCCAAATAGTACCCAAAGAAAACATCTTTACAGATTTACCCCTACTTTACCATTATCAACATTACATATAACACTTAGAAACACGTTCATTGGCCATTTTGGAAAGTAAATAAAATGATCTTGTAGACATTGTGACCCCTGGTTCCCATCACCACCACTGTAAAGCAATCTGAGTAGGTACACTTCTCTACAATGAACTGTTTAAGCCTAAATGACTTTTACGTGTCAACAATTGAATTATGCAGAAATTTTGAAAAATCAGTGAAGCCTGAGAGGTTAAACTGTGACACATTCTTGCCAGTTCAAGTCGTACAGTCTGCTACATTACTATAAAATGGGGCCATCGCTATATATTGTTGTGATTGTAATTGAATAATCAAGCAGTTATCTTAATGACTGAGTAATAATAAAAAAGGACAAACAATAATAATTGACTTAACAATGAAGAAACTAACATCTCAAAAGATTATTTTATTGGTAAAAGATGAACTAGAAAGCCTTTAAAAAAAAATGGTATGTAAACAGATGTGCCCACCAGGCTGTTTCTTACTGTACAAATAATGTAAAATATGCATTATCGTCATGAAAACTGTCATCAAGAAAGTCAATTTGAATCAGTGATTTCTTTTTTTGAGTAATTGAATAATCTGTTAATCGTGACAGTCCTACTCTTAAGTGGAACCTATTGTGCACTAACTCCACTGACTGGAATAAGAAACGCCTTGGGGACACAGTGAACAGACTTTGCTACCGTCTACCGCATCTCCATCATCTGTGCCAACATAACTGATAGGAATCTGGACTCTGGGTGAGTAGATATCTGGTCAAAAGTGAATAAGAGCAGATTTTGAGGCAGGAGATGAGCAACCACAGGCCCCAGAAACACCACTGCAAACTTATTTAAAAGTGGTAGTTGGTGAAAAAACAGTTTGTCCTCAACTTTCCCTGAAAAACGTTTGGGATCTTGAGTTTGTTTCCTTAGTTTTGCAGCTATGAGGCTACAAACTAATGTAGCCAACAAGTAATGAAGGCTCACACTTCACCAATTAGTGCAAACTGCGTGACTAAATCATCACATGCTTGACTCAAACCATATCAAGCTGTAAACTCAAACAGACTTGCTCATGTTGTTTCTGATGCTGTATGATGTAATGTTGTCTATTGAAATGGACAAAAGGACACTTCTGTCCGTTTTTATAGATAACAGCAGGCCTCATCTGCTACATTAGCCTCATAGATCCAGCACAAAACTAAGGAAGCAAACTTCAGACACCAAGCACGTCTTGGACTGACTGCACTGTGTGAACTGATCTGCCAGACTGTCATTTCAACATGAATTGCATTTGATAAAACTATTACAGGTCAGTCTGAATGTGGGCCTTAAACAGTACAGCTCAGCAGAAAGAGGTGCTGTTTTAAAGCTGGTTATACGAAGGGAATCATTTCTCAGATATTTTGGATAAAAAAAGGTTTTATGGAAAATGAGCATCAGAAGATCGTTTACACATTTCAGCCCAAAAGCAAGAACATTTTCTTTCATTTTTCATTTCTGTAACACAAAAACATTGTAATAGGGCATATTTTGCATGTACATGCTAATACGAGTAACTGCTATGATGTGGCATCAGTGTCAAAATGGTTTATTTTCCAGATGTTCATTGTTGTGACACTTGTGTGTGGAAGGTCAATGTTGTATGGAAATGTGTTGGATATTAAAAGGTAACTTTCTCTGTAAAATACAGCAATGAAATACAGATTTTTATAAAGAAATCAGAAATGTGCCATGTTTGTGTGTTTTCTGAGCCTATATCACCTCATTCGAAACAAAGTGCATTCACAAGTTCTGACAGTAGACATTAGGGCAAGATATAAACCAGTTCAGCGAGGAACTCCACCAATATTTCTAGATTTCTGCATAATTAAATTAAAAATTAAATTGTTAAGATGTAAGCAGTCGTTTAGAGTGGTTTAAATTTGGTCTAAATTTGGATTTACCACCATTTTACCATCATCAATATGACATAAAAACACATTCACACACGCACTGGCCATTTTGGATAATAAATAATTGCTATAATTGCATTTTAGACATCATGACCCCTGGTTCCTATCACCACCACTGTAAAGAAAACTGACCGTTTCACATCAAACCACTCGAATGACTTTTATGCATCAACATCTGAATTTTGCAGAAATTTCAGAAACTGGTGGAATTCCCCTTTAAGCTAATTTAATATGATGGAAGTGAGAAAAATGTATATTCATCATTGCCATCCGAAGGGCCTCCAGTAAACTGTACACTTGAACTTGTCAGGTGAGCAACTGTTGTCCGAATATAATGAATAGAATCAAACAGCTTCAGACCAAATTGGGCTCCAAGGAAAGGTGGTCCAAGACAAATGACCTCCAGGTAATCAAAACTAGTCCAGCTCTTACTGAGTCACTGCAGCAAGTGACCTGCTAACTCCTAGCCAAAGCAAGTGATCTCCTCAGCTCTTCTAGATGATTGTTGGCCTGTGTGATCATCATGCGAATAGCATCCTGTGTAGAACATGGAGAGATGATGAGTTTGGTAGATTTAATAACAATATTACAGTAACAGAGAATTTAATACAGTCTAGGATAGTGGTGATCCACTCTGCTCCTGGAGATCTAAAGCCCTGCAGAACTAATCAGCACTCTTGATTCTGAATTCTTAGTTCTTAATTAGAAAAATGGCAAATTTCATCACTTTTTTAAATTTTCACTTTTAAAGCGTATTAACTGATATCTGAGTGTATTGTCTTGATTGATGTTGATTTGTTGCTGATGGCAAATGAAAGCTGAAATTTAATTGGCTGAGATTTCCTGCTGCGTTACTAGTGTTCCGTCCCAAACCACATACTAGCACACAAAATAGTGTGTAAAAAAGTGCATACACCATTAGAAGTGCGCTCATTAGTAGGTAAAGTATAGAAGTGTGTGGTTTGGGACGCGGCGTTCGATCAGCCAGTGAGCCGCATTCAACAGCTGCTTTGCTGTACTGCACATTAGCTGCTCACTGAACATCTCTAAGCAAAGGTTTAAGGTATCTGTTGATTAAGGATCATTTATTGAGGTAAATTAATGCATTTATTGAGGTTAGCTGAGGTTGACTTCATATTCACCAACTTCCATAATTCGTCCTACGTTTAAGGCACCTCAGTGTAACTGCAGCACCATTTAAGGTGGAATGAAGAATTCAAATGGGAATTATATGTGTGAGTTTACTATTTAAGAGCTTTGGTACTTTTGTTAGACTTTGTAAAAATCACGCACTGTAATGTTCTGAACTCTAGAGATGTGCAAGCTTTATGGATCCAGTCTAGCTGATCTGCTCCTTGTAGTGTTTTTCTGGAGACTGCATCTGAAGTGTCCATATATCTTTTCATATTTTTCGTGGTCATTCTGATCTATTTTGCTATTTGCTTTTGGTCTTTAGCCACCTGCAGGGTTATAACTGCAGTAACAGAGAAGGTCAAGAATTAAGAGTTAACCAGTTCTTCCCTGCACAGGGTGTTCATTTAATTGTTCAAGAAAACACATAATCTGTACAGGACAAAAAGAACCAAGGAACAGCTCAGGAGCATGCCCAGTCGGAACACTTCATGACTGATTTTTGTACCTGGTTAGTCGCCTCCTTGTTCCTTTTGAACTCCTCTCTCGCCCAGTCCTTCAGGTATTTGCGATCGGCTTCATCTGGAACCTGCCGAATGGTCCTCAGCATACTGCGGTACAGGCCTAATACTCTCTGTCTCTGTAAAAACTGAAGATGTCGTCACACAGTAAGTCATGAACTGCAGTGCAATTCCAACAGCAAATGATCTACAGGAGGTAATTCATCTAAGACTACATACACTAAAGGACACTGGCTGAACTTGTCTATAGATGTTATTCTGTAATACAGCAATGCTGCAATGGAGCATGTAATGTACAGCCTTTTCTTTAGAAAGCGTTGGTAATAAAGGAAACAGCAGAATAACATTTAGCAATTTTTCTTCATAATTCAGTGGCTGAGATGTAAATAAATTCATTCAGAGTGCTTTGATGTAAAATGGTTCATTGTAGAGAAACCTACAGATGCTCTTTGCCGTAACGGTGATAAGAGCCAGAGGTCAGAGGCCCATGGTAAAATTAAAAAGAAAAAAACTAAAATTCTTCAGAGACTATATGCCTTATAAAACCCAGCATGTACCTCTTAACTATGAATGGATTTTAATAAAAACACTGTAGGCCAAAAACTATAGTAAAACAGTGTCTTGCGCATCAGGCAATGCATGTGTAACCATTTTGCGTAACGCCTTTTTGTGATGCAGCTTTTTATGGAAGTCTGGATGAGCTGCTGCTATAATTTTCTGGACTGTTATCTTGAGATCACATGATAATTAACTCATTATCTCAAGATAACAACTTGTTATTTCAACATACGAAAACTAACTGGTTATTTCAAGATAATTTTATTATCTTGAGATAAGATAATTAACTCGTTATCTCTAGATAACAATTCAGATAATTATAACTGCCTCATGTAGCTTTTAGAGGCTCTGGTTCCTATCACAACCACTGTGGCCACTTCGGACTGGGCAAGTTTCTTAGGAACAGAACATTTCACATCAAACCACTGATTATATCTTAACACTTTAATTAGTCAGATTTTTTAAAAAATTTGATGGAATACCCCTTTTACAGCAAACCACCTGCTGTTGACATTTTTATTCAACACTTCATTAGACTCAGCAGTAAGAGTTTTAGGAGATTTAGCACCCCTGAACCTGAAGGTGAGGAATGTTTTAATACAGCTACTAATTAATAACATACTTACAACGTCTTACGTTTCAAAAATGTTTCATTGTTTAACTAAATAAACCCTTACTGGGCCCCGATAGTGCAGCTCCAGTACGGCTTCTTATCAGACGTTTCCGTTCCACCTTAAACGGTGCAGCAGTTACGGTCCGGTGCCAACTAACGTTATTTTTTCCGTTCCACCTTAAATGGTGCAGCAGTTACATTCCGGTGCCAGCTAACGTTATTTTTTCCGTTCCACCTTAAATGGAACAACATTACATTCTGAAGCCGTATTACAGAAACTTCTTAAGTCTGAAATCTTATCTTATTGTAGCTCCAGACAGAAAACATGACCTTTTCACCTCAGTAATGGGGGTTAGCTTAGCTGTCTGGCCAACTAGCTTGATTATTTTGATTGCTTCCCTTTCAGCTGTGCGCGTATGGTCGGTTGCGAGGCAACAGACATGACAGTTGATTGTCGACTTCGATCGAGTAAGTTAAGATTTCCTAACTAAAGATAAGATGATGTAAGATAGATAAGTCTCCGAAATCAAGATAAGATTTGCTTCTGTAATACGAAAAATCTCAACTTAAGATCTGACAGGTTAAGATAAGACAAAAAGATAGCAAGTTTCTGTAAAACGGAGCCCTAAATGCGCCAGAATGTAACTGCTGCACCGTTTAAGGTGGAACGGAAAAATTCGAATAAGAAGCTGCCTTGAGCCTCGCAGCTCCAGTCCCATTTAGCCACGGAGCCGTCAGAGAGCAGCTGGAGTTCCTCACAGTGGAGGACACTGGTTTATATGTCATCTCATCAGGATAAATGATCTGTACACAACAGTTTTACACCCCTTTCAGTCTCCCCACACCGAATATCTCACAAACTGAGAATAAAGAGAATGTGAGTTTGGGTCAGTCCGAGTTAAGACCTGTTTCTCCACTTAGCTCCTTCACTGAAGGTCAGAAACATAGTAGACAGGGTTTAACCTGACCACACTGACTGACTGACTGACTGACTGCAGTGACCGATGTGCGACTCCCAGAAAAGGCGTTAAAGAAGTCCGCTGCGCCGCTAACCTGTCAGCACTGCGCGCTGCTCCGTTTCTTACCTGTTTGAGGTTCAGTGCAGTAGGTGGTAATTTTGAGACGGACATTTTAATAACATTTTTTGACCCGCACGTCCCAAAACAGGCATGCAGTTATTCTCCGTTTGTGTTTTTGACGTTAGGAGCTGCAGTGCTGCCCCCTTTTGTGCCGGAGCGGATGTGCAAACGGTACCATCGTTCAGCGTCTATTAGCTACACAGTTAGCTGATACTTAAAGGGGAAGTCCGACGATTTTTCCGGAAGTTCTGCATAACTAGTTAAGATGCAAATACTTTGGTGTCAAATACTCCGTTCTAGAGAAGCTTACAGAATCAGAATTGTTCACAGTGGTGATGATAGGAACCAGACGTCTGAAGAATTTAATGCAGTTTACAGACTTCAATTATCCCTGCAATGAAAACAGACCCGCATAGCTGATCACCAGCAAAACCAGCATATGTTGTGCACTGGATTATGAAATTCTAGTCACCAGCATTTTTCTATCATTTGAGCACAGCAGCTCCTGCCAAGCTGCATTTTGGAGATACTTGTTTGGTCATTTTGGACAGTAAATAAAATGGCTATATTTGCATTGTCGACATCTCAACCCCTGACCCCTATCACTACCACTGTGCAAGTTTCTCTACAATGATCCATACCCCATCACTCTAAATAGAATTGGTTACATCTTACCAACTGAGTTGTGGGAAAATTCTTTGTTGTGAGTTGTGGGAAGTCCTTCTTGGGCTGTGTTAGAGCAAGAAAAACACCAAATTGTGCAACTGGGTGTTGTGGTGGTACGAGTGCATCAGACACTGCAGTGCTGCTGGAGATTTTAAACACTTTGTCCACTCACTGTCCACCTTGTAGGTGTAAAGTTCATCTGTTGCTGCACAGTTTGCGTTAGTCATCCTGTAGTCCGTCATCAGTGGTCAGTTTCTGGCCACAGGACAAGGTTGGCTGGATATTTTACTACCATTGGATACTGCAGTGCTGAAAATGATCCACCACCCAAACAATACTCTGCTCAGTGGTGGTCCTGACCACTGAGGATGATGGGTAAAGAAAGGCAAACAAAGTATGCAGACAAAACATATGGACGACAGTCTGTATGTACAGAACTACAAAGTGCACCTGTATAGTAAGTTGACATGATAACAGACTATGAGTATCAATACAAAGCAGGTGTACATAATGAAGAGTCCAGCATAGATTTCTATGAATTGAGGCTGAATACTGATCTTTGCAATGAACAATGTTTTACCAGGTTTTGTAGTCATAGTGGAAAAAAAAAAAAGTCTACAAAAAGCTGTTGGAGAGAAAAGCCAGGCACATTTTTACTTGTGTTTGTGTGCCCTTGTCTACGCTGAGGGATACTGGGTTGCCAACCCCGTCTGTAATCACCATTGTCTTATTCATACAACCTTCAACTAAAATAACCCATATGAATTTTGACAGCTCCCATAACAATATGAACTGTGGTATTTGTCCTTGTGGCGTTGACTGCTGTGGCCCCCAGAGAAATGACTTGGTTTATTTAACCGTGTTCCTCAAACGACACCGCAAGGTTCAGTTTCTTCACTGTTCCACTCACTAAACTCAGAGAGTTACTGAGCCAAATCGGATATGTTAGGGGTTCTGGGACCACTGAGCTAAAAGAGAAACTTGGGCCCAAACAGATCTTACTCCCAGAAGACTCTGAAAAGATAGAATTTCTAGTCACCGTTTGCTATTTTAGGCTAGAATGTGTGTATAAAGGCTAGAAACAAAGAAAAAAAAAGGCAGAAAAAAAGACAAAAGGCCTGGTGAAGAAAGAGAGGAAGGGAGCTTGCCCTTGGGTTTATTTCCTACACCAACAGAATTGAGAATGAAAAACAAAACCAAAATGTACAAAAATGTACACTGCATAATTTATAAATACATTTCTGAGTGTATAAATTAGAAAATACACAGAAGGCTAATAATACAATTCACACAATTTTCTCTATCAGTTGCTCATACTAGCTGTCAGTTCAATCAACTGGCTAAAGATGCTACTTCCCCTCATGTTTTTGGTGAAAGAGTGTAAAATAAAAGGCACAGCAATACAGAGTTAATAAAATCGACCAATCCCTGCACAGCCCACTCAAGGCCAGATCAGAGCGAGAAAGACACCTACTCAATCATAAATTAACATGTCATTTGTGAAGAAGGCATAATCGAACTATTCGTTTCCACTAGTGTCCTCGTTTTACAATGGTTTAAATAAATTAAGGCTTAAAATGACTCGGAAGCGTGTTCGAAAAATACAGACCGTCCGAAGTATCATTAAATTCTCATTAGTTCAGACTGCACTGATAAAAAGAGTGCGATTTGAACGACGAACAAATTATACACACCCATATGTAGTGTAAAAGCAGACTTAAAAACCGTACCAACAAATGAGTGGGAGGCTGAACACACACTCACTCACTCATTCTTCCCACAGCCAGATGATGTGCAGTGTCTGCCTTTTGTTGCAGAATAAAGTCAACTAAACGTAGACCAGGTCCCGCCCCTGCCCCGCCCCATGCACCTGGATCGGGTTTTCAGGCTCCTCCCCCTGCTCGTCGTAACCCTCGTCGATGGGTTTGGGGCAGCTGTATGGATGGCCGTTGTCGTCAAAGAAGCGCCGGAAGGTGAACTCGTAGAAGGCGTGCTCCGGGTGCTTGCCGTTCTTGAACCAGCCATTCAGCGTGTCGTTATGGTTACCATCGTCATCGCTCCAGAGCTTATCTGGGTCGACGGGGTCGAAGTTTGACGTGTCTGTGCAGTGCGTGATTTTGGGGATGTAGGGTGCGGGTTGCTGCCGCAGGTCGATGGAGAAGTCGATGGTTTTGAAGAAGGGGTGCGCCTTGATCTCGTCTGCGCCGTTCTTCCCCAGCCGGTCCTCCGGCCCGCGGCACAGCTTCACGATCAGGTCTGATGCCTCTGGACTCAGCTTGGCCTGCGGTGGGATATGCAGCGCTGTCTGCCAGTTTATAACCTGAGAGAGACACACACACAAACATATATACCACAGGCAATGAAAACATTACAACAAACTTCGTTACAGTACTGTGCAAAAGTCAGAGACCACCCTTCCCCTTTATGAAACTTCCAAACAAAACAGCCATTAAGTACAAAGTATTAATTTTTCAGTATCAGAAAAAGCAGAAGCCTCAAAAACTAAACATGACGTTTTTCTCAAAATTTTGTTTGCCTTTATTCCAGCATCCATTTTCTTGGGAGACTTGCTTTGCGTTTTTAAAAGAAATCTGCAGGGATATCTAAGACTGAATATTTAAATTCAGTCTAAGAGGTTGGTTGCATTTTCTGCTTCACACAACTCAAGTAATCCCAATGACAAATTTAGACTCGTCAGTCCTTATCTCAGATATCCTGTTCTGTTCTAGTTCAAATCTTCTTTTTTTAGTCTGTTTTCTTTTCTCAGCAAGGGCTTTTTGACAGTTAAACTTTTCAGACCCAAAGCATTAAGTCTTCTCACAGTCAAAGGACACATAGAAACACCGGTGGATTTTTTTAGATCTGAAACAAGAATATAGCTTGATTTTCTGCTATCTCTGAAAGATAACAGCTTTAAGTACTGTTTATCTGATGGTGACAGATTTGGTGCTTCCTCCTTCCTTGTAAAGGTGGATTATCTAATGTGTAATCTCAGAAATAACACCTTTAGCCACTTTAGATGCATGAGAAAGAAATTTGCGAGGCAGTTAAAGTGTGCTTGGGGAGCTCCTTGCGTGAAAGTCAGTGTCTCTCTGAAGGGTAACAATGTCAGTGACACATTTAGGAAGAGCTTTTGTTGGGAGTACACAGCTGGAACTACTCGGTTTTAAGATTTGAACGATGGAACAGTTAAAGTGGAAAAAGAGGTAGTAAAAGTAAAAAGTGGACAAATTAATCACTGATAGATTCGATGATGGACTTGGTTTTGAAACTTATGTTTATGTGTGTTAAATATGTTTCCTGTTTTTTTCCTCACAAAAAATGAATAACTTGTACTTAATGGCTGTTTTGACTGGAAATTAAATAAATAAAGTGGTGGTCTCTGACTTTTACACAGTACTGTAATCATTACTCCAACACCCTAAATATTCAGGTTTACTGGAGATGAATCAGGTGTGTTTGAAGATGTAACGTACAAAAAGACTAGAGTTTGAAAACATCATAACATATCTACTATATTGTCCAGTTGCATTACATTTTCCAAAATCTTGTGTAGGAGATTTTTACTCACCTTCATCTGGGTCTCCAGTGGAGTTGTAGCCAGGAAAGGAGGCTGGCCAACCAGCATCTCATACAGAATCACCCCCACGCTCCACCAGTCACACAGCTGTGTGTAGCCTGCCATAGCACAAACACAGACACAAGTCAGCTAACAGAGAAGAGTTTCATGTAAGGACATATTAACTGATGCATATCTGTTTACCCTTGACAGCCTGGGCTTTCTTTACCTTCTGTTCAGCATGTTTCTGAATAAACTTCAGAATGTCAATGACAAATGGATTCAAGATCCCAGTGTTTTTCAAGGTATCTTACCGTTTGCTTGGCTTGTATGGAAATGTTTAGGTGTAACTACAGCACATTTATTTTGCAATTCTCAGATTTAGATATTTGCTTGAAAACATAGGTAACTAGCAATCCATATGAACTGAAATTCTGGAAATGAGACACACATTGCCCTTTAAATCCTTAACTGAATATTATCATCTGACATTCTGCAATACAGGCATAAATGCAGTTGTGGGAGAGACCGCAGCCATGCAAAGCACTGCAGCATAAAGGCCATTTCAAACCAGCACAATATCACTTTAAACACACTGTAAAAGTTACTCTTTGCTGCCACTGGCGTAAGAAATACTCTGTGTACTGAGTGAAGTGTGTAAATGAGTGAGTGTACTGAGCGTATGGTAGGGTACCTGTCCGTAGCAGCACCTCTGGGGCGATGTAGTTTGGTGTGCCCACTAGCGAATGGGCCAGGCAGCGCTGGTGTTGCCTAGCAGCCCGCCGTTCCAGTGGCTTGAGACGGTCGCCACAGCGACAGTTTGCAGGATCTTCCCACTCCTTACTGAAATCCATACTGTCCTGTCGCACATGATCACCTGAGAAAGAGTCAGACAGTAAGCATTCACTATAAGCCACAGCAGCCTATGTTAAGTACACTTTTTAAGAATGGATGAGAACCTAAACATATCATTTGTGTGGATCCCACAAACCCAACATGTTCAAAATACTCACCACTCTGGTAGTACTTTGAGTCGTGTGTCCAGCGGAACCCCGTGCACAAGCCGAAGTCGGTGAGCTTAATGTGCCCGTCACGGTCTATTAAGATGTTGTCTGGCTTGATGTCACGGTGGATGAAGCCCATCTTGTGTACGCTCTCTACAGCGCAGGTAAGTTCAGCAATGTAAAACTGCGCCAGCTCCTCACCAAAAATGCCCAGCCGGATTAACAGGCTCATCATGTCGCCGCCAGGGATGTAGTCCATGACAAAGTATAGGCTGTCCTTGTCCTGGAATGAGTAGTAGAGCTTGACCACCCATTCGTTGTCCGCTTCAGCTAAGATGTCTCTCTCGGCTTTCACATGGGCCACCTGGTTCCTCAGAAGCACGTCCTTCTTACGCAGGGTTTTCATAGCATAGAGTGCACCAGTGTCCACCTTCCGTGCCAGACAGACCTCGCCAAATGCTCCCACGCCCAGTGTTTTTATCTTCTCAAACATACACTTGTCCATCTTGGCACGTTTGAGGCGGATGTAGTTGGACTCTTTCTGAGAGAGCATCATGCGCATCTGTTCTTGGGCATCCTCAGACAGACCCACCTGTAGAGACGATATTTAAATTACTCAAAGCTTTATAACAGTCAGCCACCCACCTGAAGAACCAGCAAATTATTACAACACACGGCACATTCAAAATTCACATTCATTACTCATTAAAATTATCAGTAGCATCATTTGGATATACTCAACCAACCTGTACAACATCACAATACACCTTCACAGGGAGTAATCCTCGTTATACTGACGTTTACAACAAACAAAATCAAATTTTGAAGTACATGTCACCAAAGTGCAGTGCATAAGAATACTTCACCTAAAAATATGGATGAGAGCTGGAGAGGAACAATTAGCAGTATGCTAACCGGTCTTCACTTGTACACTTCTCATTACATTGTTTTTTTTTCCTCACAGATAAAAAACAAAAAAAAAATCAGTACCATTTTTATGTGAAGTACTCCATACACAAGAAAAATAATAGGCAGCAGCCACTGGTATTTAGCTGGAGCAAAGCATGCAACCATGCATCTCACATACATTCTACAGGAAAACCCAGTAAGTTCTGTGTGTTTTTATGTTAGGACAGATTTTCACATGCTGTTTGGTCACCACTTTTCGATTAACAGTGCCTTACTTTGTCAGCTGTGTGTGCGGACTATTCAGCTGCCAGGAGAAACCTTTATACCCTGAAAACCAGCTGCCACAGAGAGAGGAAGAGAGAAAAGACAGGGCTAGGAGCAAAGAAAAATATCACAGTGGAGGAGAACCTCCCATTGACAGCATGACAGAAAAAAGAGGGATGGAAAGAAGTAAATACCAAGAAAGAAAGCGACAGACGGCGAACTCAGAAATAGACAGGACACTAACCCGTTGCATCTCACTCTCCAGCTGTTTCTTGCGCCTGATTCTTTGCTGGTGATTCTTCAAAATGTTCTCCACATGCTGCTCCATGAAAAACTTAAAGGCCTGTGGTGAATACAGCTGCACCCTGCCTTCTCCTCGACGCTCCTCGTCACGTTTGTTCTTCCGCACTGGTACCGGAGATGTAGTGATCTGCTTCTTCTCCCGCTCTGTGCTCACGGCCGTCTCAGAGCCCTCGGCACGCTCACTGGAGCAGGTGCTGGCATTGTCCGTATCATCCTCACCACCCTCATCTTCCTTCCTGCCGTTGGGGTTGGACTCGTAAGCTGGACATGGAGCAGATAGCTGCTGTTGTTGCTGCTGCTGCAAGAGGTGCTTGGGGTAAGGAGGTGGAGGACCCTGGTAGCTCGGCACCTCAGACACAGCTGGTATCTGGGGCACAGCAGGCCCGGGCACAGAAGCCTCCTGAAATGGAGAGGGAGGAGGAGGTGGCTGCTGCTGTTGTTGCTGGAGCCATGGTGGGTGTGTTGGGGCCACAGCTGTGTGAAGTTCAGGTTTTTGTACCCGCATGCTCTTCACTGGCTGCAGAATGGGTGCCTGTGTGATGGCAGTGACGGTGGTAGCGGAGGGCTGGGAGCTGGGAGCGGGCGGGCCCTGGCGTCCACCCGTTGGAGTGTTAGTGAATGAGTTGGAGCGTGCTGGGATGCTGTGAGGCCAAGAAGGGGGAGGGACTTCCTGGTTACTGCTGTTTCCAGGGGAGGAGCCAGGCTGCTGTTGTGATGGCCTGGGCTGGGGCATTACCCCAAGGTACATGTCCAAGTTATGGCTGTTACGGTTAGGCACCAGCATGGATGGAGGCAGGTTGCCTCCGTTGGAGTAGGGGGGAGAAGGCGCAGGGCCGCCGGCCTGCATCTGCTGGGCTGTGGGACTGTGCCTGTTCGCTTGACCCAGTGGGTACGGAGGAGGAGGCTGCCTGCCGCCACCCGCCATGCTCATGTAATCTGCCTGCGCTGAGCCATTCTGGGGCCAGGCAGGGGGAAAGCTGAACTTGTTTCCCCCAGAGCCCTGCATGATAATGGGCTGGCGGCCCACAGGCACCGGGCTGATGCCCCTCTGGGCCTGGGCTGGAGCGTTCGAAAAACCATCAGGCCATGGCCCCTGTGGGACTGGGGAAATGCGCGGCCCGAGGTAGTCCATGTTTCCAGAATAGCGCTTGGTGGCGGGGTTCGATTCCCAGGAGGAGGGGGGAGGGGTGACGCTACGCACCTGAGGAGGAAGGGGAGGGTTCACCCGCTGACTGCTAACCCCAGGCGCATGGCTCTGGGGGTAGGTGGAAGGACGGGGTAAGTCGGCCTGAGGGCCAGGGCTGTTTGATCGGTACATGATGCCGTCGGACATCAGAGCGCCATGCCACTGTGGAGCCAGAGATTCCTTGGAGCCTTTCCAGCTTGGCCTCCGCAAAACGGGCTGTTGGATGTGAGAGGGGCCTGCGCAGGAAACACACACACTATTGATGCCTTGAAACAATACTATGAGAGAGATGACAACATGAGCAGAATTAAAGCAGTCTATTTCAAATTTATGTGACATTAGTAATCAGCACTTATATCAGCACCATTTCCCATTTCAAACTACTGCCCCAATGAAAATTTCCATCTCCGTAAATGCAGGCATGTAGTAAAAAGAAGCACTCATTCTCTAAATGGACCAAAATGTGGACATGGGTCCCCCAGGAGAGCTGCACCCACCAGTTGCTTTGATAGCTGCGTTAGCTGGACGTGCTGCTGCAGCTGCCATCTGCTCTCTCACCGGGTCCTGGTAGCTCATCTTACTGATGTATTCTATAGCTGCCCCCACACTGCGATTGTTGGTGTGCTTCAGAGCACAGATCACCATTTCCTACACACACATACACACAGCTTTAAAACAGGCAAGCATTTTGCAAATCAATCGCCATCAAACATGCCCATCAACTTCATTTAGTTCTCTGGCCAACCACTTACACACATACACAAAATAAAACTGCACAAGCCGGCTAGTAGTGAACCTGACTATTTTACATATGGAATTCAAACACAAGTTTGCTTTGTTGCATTACATTATCTCAGCATGCTGTGTAGCTTTCAGTATAATGAGAGTCTCTCACAGGCCCTAAACAGGCAGTACAACATGCTGTCATTACAGAACTATTCCTCCAATGCGAAACATTACTGCACTGTTGTCTCCAAGAGAATACTGATTTCTAAGAAAACAAAAAGGACATAGAACACATACCTGTGGTTGAAAACAAGTCAGCAGTGTTGCACTGAGCCCTGTACTACAGCTAAAACTTGTCTGGCCACATACCATTGTTGTCATACCTAAACTATGCAAAATGATCACCTGACAAGGGAACGTTCTTATTTTGGTCAACATAAAGCCCATGTGTTTACATTACTGTTTAAAAAAACATGCACTCATTCATCACAAAGAGATACAGACATTAATAAATTTGGGAAAATTCTGTGCTGTATTTGGACAGTTCTCTTACCTCTTCAAAGCCTGCAGCCAACAGCTCCTGAAGCATCTGCGTGTTGACCTCAGGTGTGCGACCACTGCAGGTGGGCTCGTTGGCAAACGGCAGCAATGATTTGCGAATCTCCTGCAGGGCTTTGTGGTAGGGGTTTTTGGGGTTGGTGCTCCGGCCTTGCTGCCGCAAGTCCTCCGGCAGGCTCTTGCCGCCACCAGTTTCCACTTTGGCAGCATCAGAGGGCCGGGAGAGGTTTCGCAGGCTCTCCCGGATCTCCTGCAACATCTGCTGACTGTTGCCACTGTAGTTGCTTGCGGGAAACGTCTTGGGCCGCATCTGCCTGTATCCTTCGGGTTTCTCGCCTCTCTTCATGAAAAACCATGTATCTTGCCAATCACGGAGGTGAACGAGGTTTGCAGGGAGCACAGTGACACTGTCAGAGTTAATGACAAGTAGGTTTCACCTGCATACCAGAGCGATGACAATATGCCTGTCAGAGGAGGTGAAAACTAGTGACACTAATTAAACTCTTCCAAATAATAATTTAAGAAGTGACGTTATGCCATCCCAACCTGACACTTAGAGCTACAAAATGAAGAAGCTGTAATATCTGGACTTATCAGAAGTGCCCGCTTTCCACAAGCCGTCCACGCAAAACCTGCACGTTATCTAATCTTTTAAATGTTTTGCAATGTAAACTTCGCTGGAATGTATTTGTGCAGGTGGATACAATACGTAAGCTCTGCCCTGCTGTCAGCAGTTTGTTCATTTATGGTGAAACAAGAAAAATGTCTGGAAATCTTAAAAATAATGATAATAATAATAATAATAATAATAATGTTTACTTTTTATAGCACCTTTCAGGCATACAAACACAGCTCAATGTGCTTCACAAAAAGCCTGCGAACAGGTATAAACGAAATAACAACAAAACTGCTCGAATACGTTTTCTGACGAATCTGAACAGCGAATAACTCCAAACCTTTGAAGCATATAAACAAAGCTGCTTCGCCACTTGTGTTTTTCTCTATGAAGTCTATGAAGGACCTGATTTCCTTAAGATCCCATTTGAAATACTATCTGACAGACAGGAAAACACCAAACCCATTTTATAGATTTAAAGCTAGGTTAAGGACTTTAATATCAATTCTAGATCAATAGAGCAGGTTGAATTAGCTACATGATTAGGCAGACAGTAAAGATTAGATGCCGAATGCTCCAGCAATAAACCAAACTGGATAAATTAAGACCGCAAGTGAAATGTACAGACGTTTAGGGAGATACAGAACTAGACAACGAGTTATCCAGTGTGTAACACTGACTCCTAACAGGCTCTTTATGCAGAACAGCGAAGTTAGCCAACCTAGCTTGCTTAACTAACTTACTCTGAATTAACGTTAGCTTACCGAGTTACACAGCTTCACTATTTAACGTAACCGCTGTAACACCGAGCTTATTCTATCACCTTTGAAGCCTACACTATTACACATTACGTCTCGGACTGTGGTACTGATAAAAGGTTGTGTTTATTTCCAGAGGACCTCAAACCTGTTGATAGCGAGGCCTAAAAGTGAACTATTCAAACTCGTTAGCTAATGCTACCCAGGTTAGCTTAGCCGTTAGCCTCGACGCACAGGAGAGCGTTAAAGTTACTCACCCTCGACTAAAGAATATCCATCTTGGTCGCGCCTGAAGTTTAACGCGCGGTAAAGGTTTGAGAAACTAAAAGGAAAACCAAAAGACGGAGGAAACGAGTCCGCGGAGCTCGGCTAGCTTGCTAACGACTTCGCTTTTGTATTGACACCGTCGCCTTGGCACTCCGAGTCTGTCAGTGCTGTGATGCCCGGATGTGTGAAGACTCGGCTCTGTTTTCCAGAAAGCTGAATACGACGCGCTGCTGCAGCTTCTCAAACGTCTCGTTTGCTCATATTTACTAAATGTTTGGAGCAATAAACGGAATAATTACAGAGAAATAACTGTAAACTGAGTTGTTTACATGCATTACAGTGTATTCAAATGATAATACTTCTATTAATGCTTCTACTGTAGTGTGTTAATGAGAAAAGAAACGCTACTTTTTACTCAGTTAAATTATTAGTCTTTCACATTTAGTAACACTTTTTTGTGCTTAATTATATTATGTATTATGCATGTTATGTTACGGGGGAGGGGGCGTTGGGGGTCAACAATACTCCAACAATAACCCCTATAAATAATAATAAAAATAATAAAAACACGTGATAAGGGAGATTAAACAACATTCACGTTCTGTCTCCACTTTGAGTAACGTTGGAAATTATGTTTACTTATTTTTTGGTATTAAAAAACGTGTGCAATATTATGGAAGTGAATTTCTGCCACTGAACATAAAGAAAACATTTAGTAAGCCATAATAATGAGTTTTTCATAAATTATTATTACATTTTTTATTAAATCTCATAATTATGACTTAGCATCCCATAATAATGACTTACTATTTCAGAATTATGATTTAGTATCTCATAATTATGACTTAGCATCCCACAATAATGACTTAGTGTGTCATAATTATGACTTAGTATCTCATAATTGTGACTTACTCTCATAATCATGACTTAGCATCCCATAATAATGACTTACTATTTCAGAATTATGATTTAGTATCTCATAATTATGACTTAGCATCCCACAATAATGACTTAGTGTGTCATAATTATGACTTAGTATCTCATAATTGTGACTTACTCTCATAATCATGACTTAGCATCCCATAATAATGATTTACTATGTTATAATTATGACTTAGCATCCCATAATAATGACTTACTATGTCATAATAATGACTTACTATTTCATAATTATGACTTAGTATCTCATAATTGTGACTTACTTTCTCATAATTATGACTTAGCATCCCATAATAATGGCTTATGTCATAATTATGACTTAGTATCTCATAATTGTGATTTATTTTCTCATAATTATGACTTAGCATCCCATAATAATGATTTAGTGGCATAATTATGACTTACTATCTCATAATTATGAACAACTTTCTCATAATTGTGACTTAGCATCCTATAATAATGACTATGTCATCATTAGCACTTAGTGTCTCATAATTATGACATTTTCTCATAATTGGGTAAATTTTCTCATTATTATGAGACAGTCATTATTATGACATTCTGTGTCAAAATAATGAGATGCTATGCAATAATTATGATACTAAGTTATAATAATGGAAGACTTTCTCATTATTATGACTTACAATGTGGCGATATGTTTTCTAGTGCTGAAAATGAGCTTTCATAGCAATATCCTATTATGACTGCATTGTAATATTTTTTGTGTATTTCAATATTTTTGTGTAAGATTTCTTCTCTTTTTCTTCCAAGCCAAGCTGAGCTTCCAAAAATGGAAGTATTCCTTCACAAATAGAAAGTTGGACGCATCCCATCTGAATTGTAGACAGTATCAGTCAACAATATTTGACACATAATACAACACATTTCTTCATGTATTCAACTGCTTTAGTTCTTTTTACATATCCAAGGCCTATTTTTCATCTAATGTTTACCTCTGCAGTAATAGCTGAGCCGCCCCAAGCCTTGTGGTGGCTTCAACTCCTGGACAGAGGCCTAGTCAGTAATCCATCCCTGCAAGTTGGGGACATCATCTGGACTGCTTTGCGATGAGTCACATCTCTCACTTTTAACACTTACCACCTTGTTTTAGATGAAAAGAATCCACAAAAGAAGAGACTATAGTCTTACAAACATCACTTCCTGTGCTGACAGATACTGGATATAATAAAGGTGCATTCTGGGAAATAGCATGTAATGTTAATTGTCATGTATGTAATTTTCTGCAGCACTGCATCCCTCAGCCTCATCCGTTTAACAGAATTCAAGATTTTGTAAATCGTTTTTGTGTTTTTATCAGTCTCCCACTACAATACCCAGCATGCATTACACAAATACATTACACAGCTGCTGGGTTTCCCCCACAGTGATGAAGGAATTGACTGATAAAGAGGCTATAGATACTGATGTGATATTTGGCTTCACTTGAAGTAGCTATGCAGCTTCCTTCTGTGTTTGCCAGCTAGTGGCAAAACATTCAAACAACCCATTTTCATCAATCTGCCACAAGGGGTTTGTAGTTTTTCAGAAGTCCCTCACACTTTCAGGAAATAGCATCAGAAGGGGGTTTTCAGTCTTTAAACCAATAAATTTCTCTCTCTAGACTTTTGTGGCACCACTGTAAGTGGCAAGTATACATGTTTGTAACACGTAAAGTAATGGTTAAATATTTCATTTTGGCCAGTTAAACTGCAGTTCTATGCAATACTACTGTAGTATTTAAGTAGTTCTATTGGCCTGCTTCTGGGACCTTTGGTATAACCAGATTATCACCAGTCCAGTTACCTTGATATGGCTACTACTGGTTATGTAACCATTAATATTCTACATTCAAATGTGTAGTAATTGAAGTAGTTCAAGACTACACTTAAATTAGTTACCAGACCTATCATGCAATCTAGATTCAGCTGTCTACTAGTAATGTTAAGGATAAGGATGTTAATGGTATTAGTGTCTGTGAATGTTTTCAGTCATTAAAGGCGAATTGCACTGATCTATCAAAATATCTATATAATTGTTAAGATGCAAACAAAGTCATTCAGAGTGGTTTGACATGAAATGCTCTGTTCCAGAGCAAATTTAGAGTCAGAATTGATCACATTGGTGGTGATAGGAACCAGACAACCGAAACATTTAATGCTTCTAAAAGCTCCTTCACAATAAGTTATTACACAAAATTGTTACAAATGCGCTGCCTGATGCCTGAGACATTGTTTTAGAATGTTTGCTTTTATGATGTTTGAGTTTTGAGAGGGTTTTGGCTTGAAATGTATCTGTTCATGGCAGAGAGGTATATGCAGGACGTTGTGAGGCAAAATAGCATCAAAAGAAATTGATCTTTTCAGATTTACCACTATTTTAGCATCATCAACATCACATATAAAAACTATGAAGACACGTTCACTGGCCATATTATCATATGATCATAACTAAATTTATATTTACTACATATTTGCAGTGAAGACATTATGACCCCTGGATCCCATCACCACTAAAGAGACTAAAAAGGAAAATCTTTGCTGTTGAATTTCTCTACAATAAATCATTTCACATCAAAACACTCTAAAACTACTTTGTTTATATTTCAATGATTGAAATACACAAAAAATTGAAATTTTTGTAAAATTTGTCTCTTTTGCAAAGTCCAGATGTCTTGACTTAAGGTCTAGTATTTTTCAGATTCATCTGTAATAGTCTTCAGTCAAGATGACTGGACTTAAGTTTTAAATTCATTATAACAAATTATTTTGGCCATTTCTGACACAACACTTATAGACGAATTGACAACTGTCATATCGCTGCAGTCAGAACAGAACCTCATATCTCATGAGAAGCTAAAAAATCCTTAACTTTAGCATAAGTTAATAAAACAAGATTTTATTCTAAGTCATATTGGAGTATATCTGTTGGGCTGCTCATCATGAAATTTGACAGTGTAAACAGCAGCACTTAAGAAAAAAAAACTTAAAAGAAAAAAAAAAACAACAAAAACTGAGATATGAGGTTTTGTTCAGACAGTATTAAAATACAAGGTATTTAACATAAACTACAGTTCATATCAGTGCACACACTCACACACAATTAGAAAGATCACTGTTTTATTTTTCTAAGTGCATTAACCAGAAAAAAACACAAAAAAGTAACAAACAAATGAAAAGTGATGGTGAAAAGAGCAAATCGTCACTATTACCCAAACCATTTAACGTCACACAGGGACCCGTCTGTTTATGTAAACCGCCTCTCCATCAGTGCCGCACACTAAGCACTGTCCAAGCACATCCAGGCTGTTGACGGACAGTGTCTGGCTGGGCAGCATGTGAGTGGTCTCCAGCCTGCCCTTGCTGGAGTCTCCATTGAGCCAGGCACTGATAAGGGACTGGTTTCCGCCCGCTGGAGCTGCGGCGCTGCGGGACATAATGCTGGTGTTGCGCCCTGAAAGAGAGAGAGAGAGAGAGAGAGAGAGAGAGAGAGACAGAGAGAGAGAGAGAGAGAGAGAGAGAGAGAAATAATGAGAGAAATTATGTTGATCTGAGACTGATAGTCAGATATTTTTTAAGACACTAAACAAGCCACCTCAAAACCCCACGAGAACAGCACCTGCACTACAGTCCACAATCTCAGGGAAGCTTTTTATGCAGTACTCTGTCAAAAGTCTGGCAACATCTAACTTTTCCAAAAGGAGCATGTTATATTACAGAGTGGATATTGGCATTTTTCACTGCCAAAACTGCTAACACTAAGACCAACTGATGAAAGCCCGTTAATTGGGAATAATGGCAAAGCCCACATATTTCATTGCTCTGTTGTGAGAGCAGCACTCAAACCATTCCGGTGTTTCAATCCGCCTTTGGCCAGCGAAGATTCAATATGTGCTTTTAACAAAAATCTCAAATCATTATTTAGGCAAAACCTGCTCTTCATAGCCAGAAAGACATTTGATGAGCATTAAAGCCACACACTGGGGATTTGGAGACCTCTCTGGTGGAAATGTGTAATGACACATCGTGCAGAAGAACATTTTGTGACATGGGCTGGGCTTCTGACCGTCTTCCCTGAGAGGATGAAGGATTGCAAGCGTGTTGAAAGAGCATTCAAAGTGAAACTCTGGCAAAACTTGGTGAAGGATTTGTCTTCTGAAGATGTAAGTGAAATATGTACTATTGTCATCTTATTTTCATCAGTATAATGTTGATTTTGCATTTAAACACTGACCTTCTTTTCTAAGCTTGTATGTGTGACGTTATGACGTCATCCAAAAAACTCATGCAAAATCTGACACAACCCAAAATCTACCCTGACTGAGTAATGCTACTTATTTCAATTTTAACAAAATAATCTTACACAATGCAGACTGTAGTGTAGCTAAAACAAAGATTTAAAAAGAAGCATAGTCTGCTCAGACATTTGCTAATGGTGTGCATACAGTATACTGCCAGTTTCATTAAAAGGCTACTTTTTTGTAACTTGGACTACAAATTATACTGCTTATATGTCAAATATTAGGGCTTTAAGGGGAACTCCACCACTGTTCCAAAATTTCTGCATAATTAAATAGTTAAGATGTAAACAAAGTCATTCTAGAGAACCTTAACCGAGTCAGTATTGTTTACAGTGGTGGTGATAGGAACCAGACATCTAAAGTAGTGGTTCTCTAACTGGGGGCCATGGACCCTTGGGAGGCCCAAGGGAGTGCTAAAGGGGTCCTAGAAAAATCTCAGAAGTTGTATTTCTACTTAGTAAGTTATTTTTTTTTTTAAATCACTAATTCTTCTGACAAATCTGCCTCATATTTTAAACAGTGGTACTTATTATTATTATGTCATTAAATGTTATTAAAATGAAATCACACTTCATGACCACACCGCACCCACTTATCTGTAATTCCACAGAACTGGACTACTGTATATGTAACTTAGTAACAGCTGCAGAGAAAGCCAGAAAGGTTCAGATAAGACACGATCCTTGTCGCAGCGGCACTTACTATGCACAAAGGGGGCCATTACTACATTACTAAATGCACAAAGGGGGCTATTACTACATTACTAAATGCACAAAGGGGGCCATTACTACATTAAAGCCTGAGAACTGCTGGCCTAAAGAATTTAATTTCCCTAAAAGCTACAATACAGAAACTGATTACACAAAATGGTTAGAAACACATTGGACACATTGCTTTACGATAGTTTTGAGAGGAAGTTTGGGCCTAAAACATATTTTTAATGGAAGAGAGGCACACACAGAAAAAAAAATCCCAAAAGAAAAAATATTTTTTCAGATTTACCACTTTCAACGTTGTAAATATTACCCATAAAAACACAAGTAGGTTCACTGGTCATTTTGGTTAGTACACGAAAATGATTATACTTTTTTCGAAATGATTTAGTAAAATTGGTGGAATTTCCCCTTATTCTGCTTACCCTGCAGGAAAGACGGTGTGTCTGACCCAGAGGAGGTCTCCCAGTGCAGCAGAGAGCCGTCTTCTGAACAAGTGAACAAGTGGTCGGGGTTTGACGGGTGAAAATGGACCTCCCACACTACAGGAAGAAAAAAGGCAATATTACTGACATGATTCATTAACAATAAACAATAAGAAAAACAAGACAAAATGTAGTTTACACACCTTGATGCATAAATAAGTGAAAATTCTTTTCATGAAGTAAATAAATGAATATAAAGGCATAGCACATTTTCACTCTAACAGATCAGACACTCACTTTCAGCAGAGTGGGCCTCCATGAGAGAGAAGGGCATGTTGCCCTGCCTCACGTCCCAGATACACAGCATGCCATCCTGGCCTCCAGTGGCCACTATATGCTGCTGGTTCGGGTGCCTGTCCACGCAATGCAGGGGCACTCTGTCCCCAGTGCTGCAGAGACAAAACAGGTTACTAACATCTACAACCAGAACCAACTAACTAAAGCCACAATTATTACACTGGAGAAAAGTGACGCTGTGGTCACGTTAGTCTGGTGCGCCAATATAAGTGAATGCCATCTTCAGTTGGCTGCATATGGGTTACAGTTGTATGCAAATGTTTGGTCGCCCCTGGTCAAATGACAACTTTTGTTGATTTTCTAAGTGAAAAATCCATTAACACGTCCTCTACAGGAAACACACTTAAATATAAACATTTTTCTGCTAATTTTAGTGCACATTTTCTATTTATTTGCTTTGTTCAACTTACTGACATAAAATGTGAAATGCACCATAATGTCTGTGCAGGCCACAATTTATGTTCTTCTTCCACACTTAATTTGACCAGGGGCGCCCAAACTTTTGCGTAGAACTGTATGTCAACAATGCTTTAATTTTTAAAACACATCATAAATAATTAATAGTTCAATAACCATAGGCCAGATTCCAGTGGTGTAACAATCATCTTTATACAACAATTATCATGCACCCATCATGCACTAAACGGCCATGTGTGATGGACACAACGCTTCCCAAAGAAAACAAATGTCGGATCTGATGCATTGCCGCGCCGGACCAACGTAAAAGCATAAGGGGGAAAACTGGAAATTAAGTTACTACAAAACTGAAAGAGAAGGCTAAATATTGCATATGTAAATCTCTAAATGTAAAGCAAAATGGTCATCAAACCTGAGACTTTCATTTTGAAGTACTAAATGGTTTCTTCACATTTAATTTAAAAAAAATGGCACAAGTTAAGATGCTTCATCTTGTGGTATGAGAGATATGCAAGAACACTAATTCAGATAACTTAGTGTCAAGTGAGTTCAAATATTAAGAACTACACCTAAAAAGTATAAAAAGAAGCAGTGAGGCTAATTTTAGCATACTACTCCTGCCGTGGAGAGTTGTTTGGAGCTGTGTGGCTGAGTAGCTCTTTCATTTTAAGTTTAAAGGGTACCACACAGGACAGTCAATAAAAGAAGACTAATAAATGATGTACACAAAGTCACCAGAGTCATTTGATGTGAAATGCTCTGGAAGTGATCACAGTGGAGGAGATAGGAACCAGATGTCCAAAGCATTTAGTGCCTCTAAAAGCTACATCACAGAAAGTTGCATGAAATGGCTCTGGGCTAACTGATGTCTGAGACCTTGTTTTACAATGCTTTTTGAGAAGGTTTTGGCCTGAAATGTATTTTATAAAACCTATCATGAAGGGCACTGTGGGGTAAAACAGTCGCTAGAGAAAACGTTTTTAGATTTATCACTATTTTACATCACCAACATTACATATAAAAGACATGTGTAGGTTCACTGGTGGTTCTCAATAGTAAATAAAATGGCTATATTTGCATTGCAGACATAGCAAACCTACCATAGTAAAGAAATCCAGAAAGGTAAGTTGGTAAATGTCTCTAAAATGCATCATTTCACATTAAACCACTCTCTTTGGTTACATGTCTGAACTGAAATATGCAGAAATGTATTACAAATCAGTGGAGTTCTCTTTTAACAGAGGGATGTTATCAGCAGAAGTTCATCTTAAAAGCTTGGTTGTGTGTGGGTCACCTGTGATCCACTCAGCCCTTTCAAAATCTTTGTGTTCAAACTCAACTGGGTTTCAACTTCTTAAAACAATGTATAGAATACTTGATGCAATGCTTTCTTAATAAAACCTTAAATAGTATAGCTTTAATACCAAACAGCAAGTTGTTTTTCAAGTGCTATTTGAGTTGCAGTGTCTCTCCTGAAACATTAGGGAAACAGTATACTACTGGTGTGTTGCTTTGTGCTGTGTGAGTGAATCTCACAGAGAGAGGATCTGTGCAGGCACACTGCTCTGCTGCCTGAAGTCCCAGAGCTTCAGCTGCCCAATGGAGTTTACTGTCAGCACTTCAGTCGTCCGAAGAAAAGTCACTGCGTGGATTGTGCTGCTGTCTGCATTTTCTGTGGGGAAAAAAGGCATTGTGCAAACATTTCAAAAACCAGGCATAACTCTCTCACTGTGACAGTATATAAAGAAAACTAGATATTCTCCACAGAACTCTACCACTGTTCTGCTGATTTGACAATTCCAACCCAGGCTTTTACTTTATATGAGCTGTGTTTAAAAACTGCCTTTATGAGTGCTGGAGGAGAAGAGAAGTAAGATTTGAGTGTAAAACCTGAGCATGTCAAATGGCTGTTAAAGCTTATATATGTTTGACTAATGAGGGATGACACAGTGTAGGTTTTGCGCAACATTAAACAACCAATTACAACAATTTTAACCATTCCGGCAAACAGAATCACTACGAGACACTGTTATCTAGCAGAATTACTGGTTAGAGATTTCCCTAGCAGTAAAAAGGTATAAAAAGGTGATGATTCTACAGCAGCCAATTTTGAACAGGACTGACTGTATCAATTATAATAACAATCAATAAAGCATGCATTCATTTGTTGGCTAAAATAAAATAACCAGGCTGTTTTCAAATGCTGACTGTATTATTTTTCTTGTCTATATTTCAATACTATATACATACTTCCTGCAGTCACGTTTCTTTCTGAATTCTGAATCATGCCAAAATAATTAAGTCAAACCAAACTACAGTAAAAAAGGTTTCATGATGCATTGCATCGTATTTTGAAACAAAAATTATTATGAGGGAGATTTACATGCCTATTTGTGACCCTCCACATCTAAATTACACTATAAAAAATTAGGTTGAAGGGGCAGCATAGGTGTGGCTGCTGTATAATACTGACCGATGACACGCACGACTCCTCTCTGGTCAGCTTTGTAGAGAATGACTCGCCCGTCTTCACCTACTGACACCACATCTGGACTACTGCACACGACTCCTGTGCATGGGGCGCTGGCACGCTGATAGTGATGCGCTTTGTCCCACGCGTGAGCCACAGACAGAGTCTGCAGAGCACAGAAAACACTCTCACAGATACATATACACATAACATCATAGTTCAAATAAAAATTGTAAACTTTACAGGAGAAATCGAAAAATGTTTTAACTTTTGATGTATGTTAATGTAAAGAGGTATTATTCCAAGTGATTTTGAAGGATTAATATTGGTCATAAAAATAAATAAATATATATATATATAAATAAATATATATATATATATAAATATATATATATATATATATATATAGAGAGAGAGAGAGAGAGAGAGATAGATAGATAGATAGATAGATAGATAGATAGATAGATGACTGACTGATTCTACTGTCATTTCCTAATTATGTCAGTGGTTAATAAGACATGTTAGGCCTTCAGTTAAGCTCCTGAAGTCCTAAGCATTTAAAACCAATACCTTGACAGTCAATCGCATATGTAGCTGACTTAGAGACGCATATTAAAGCAGAGCTGTGTGCCTGATCATTAACAGACTGCAGAAATTGTTCATACCTGGTTGTCGGCATGAAGTTTATAGATAGTCACTGCCCCTGTTGAAGATGCTGTGACTAGCCTGTCTTGATCCAGAAACTGAAGAAGATATGAAACGGTTAGGCAAGTAATCAACAGTACATTAAACTATGGAAACATCGGCTTGTTATTTAGCTATTAGTATTTGGAATTATAATTCAGTAACTACTATAAAACTAATAGGCGCGTTATCTAGTTATAAGAGTGATTGGTCCCACTTTATATAAAGTGTTTCTAATAACTGTGTAGTTACACATGAATACCATATGCAACAACAATGTAAATACTGATGATTTAGTCAGCATTACAGACGGATTAAAGAAGTACAGCCTATGTAATTACACATGTGTATCAACTTGCTTAATGTAATTAATCAAGCGTATCTTCTACACAGGAACTTTCCTGTAGTGTAGTGTTAAAGTTACACTTTAAAATAAGTGGACAGTTCCTGTGTAGTTGGTATGTAGGTACTGTGTAATAATGGAGTGATAATATAGACATTACTTTGGGGGAAATGCAACACATTTCATGTCATAAAAGTTTCATTTTAAGATGAGGGGACATCTGCTATACTATCACATATACATATAAATCATTGGCAGCTACATTGTTGTTGCATATGTTGTTCACATGTAACTACATAGTTATTAGAGACACTTAATATAAAGTGGGACCGAGTGATTAGCTCAAGTGTGCAGTCACATACGGGCCCTTATGGTTTAAGACTTTAAAAGACAAAAACTATCAAAAACTGCCCTTATTAAGCCTATAAGTGCTTTGCAGATATTAAGTATTTCACTGAAAGGCATCAGTGTAGGACTAGAAAACCTGCATTCTGCCCGGTAAGTCTGTAAAAAAGTGATAACCATGCCAGACATAGATTTTCATGAGCCGGTCCCACCTGCATGTCCAGAACGTCTCCTCCATGTTTACACTCGCACAGCAACTGTGGATCTCCCTCCAGCTCATCATCTTCACCAATCATTCCAGTCTCCCCCACACGCCAGACGCAAACCTGATTAGCCTGACAACACAACAGTAAAACAGCACATTATACAAAGGAGCAGACAAAACGTGCTTTGATTTTTGTTTAATATAAGTATGTGGCTATGGTGGTACTGTTAAAACTAGTGCTAGGTGGTCTTTACTCAGTATACCGGTACTGATGTCACATAACAATAGTTATTTTTATTTTTAGCAATATTGACGGATAATAAAAAACTGCAATGTGTGTCATTTGCTCGGTGCTTTAGACAATTTTAAAACAAGTTTAAAATACAAAAAATCCTAAGTGAATAGCAAGTTTCCTCTCTGGGAATGTGGATTCTGTCTGGTTAGCAGAAAGGACTGTGTAAGGTCTCCTGGTGTCATTTTGAAGGAAAACTTAATGGAATTTTCTCAAACACAAAATATAGCTATTTTATTTATTATACAAGCTAACTTGTGGACCTAGACAAGTCCTTAAGTTTTTATATGTAATGTTAATGATGGTAAAATAATAGAAAATCTGAAAATAATAATCTTTTCTATTCTTTCAGAACTATTTTGCCTTTCAATACTTCTCTCCACCATGAATGATTTAAAAACAAAAAAAGTGTTTTAGGCCAAAAACTATGATAAAATAGTGTTTCGGACATCAGACAGCATATTAGTGACCTTCTCATGTAAAAACTTTCTGTGTGGTGACTTTTACACGCATTAAAAGAGACTTCCACTGAATTTCTACAAAACTCAATCGTTATGGTGTAATCAAACTCATTCACTTTGATGTGAAATGCTCCATTCTAGAAAAACTTAGTGACTCAGAATTGTTCACAGCAGTGGTGACAGGAACCAGTGTCTAAAATATAATGGCTCAAAATGCTACCTCTCAGAAAATCATTACAGGAAACAGTTCCAAATTCACTGTCTGATGCCCGAGATGTTGTTTTACGATAGTTTTGATATAGTCTTTTGGCCTAAAATGCAGTTTTTAAAAGTCATTTCTGATGGAGATATACATGCAGGTAAATTAGTCCCTGTTTTTAAAAGTTCTTTCCCCATGTTCACCACTATCACGTTATTTCAACTTAACACATAAAGACCCAGATACATGTAGGTTCAGTAATGCTTTTAAATAGTACTTAACCTTTTTAACTCCATGGGATCACCGGTGGTTCCAAAATGCACTTTGTCATATTCTTCATAACTTTCATATTTCATAAGCTACATTTAAAAGGTGGGTGTCGTGTGAGAGCTGTAACTGTCTTCTTTCCAGTCAAATAGATGTAATGTAATTTTAAACCCTTATAATAAAAGAAGCTGAACTCACAATTTTTTGTCTGCTGAAAGTCGACCCATTTTTCCACAAATCTGGGTTATAAACTATAAATAGATGGTGTCTCTTCAGTGATCTGCTCTGTAAAAATGCTTTTTATGAAATAATACAAAGAGCACCTAAGATTTTGGCTTTCAGCAGTAAACTGTAAGCATATAGCAATATGTGTATGATCATAAAACACATGTTCTGCTAATTTGAGGGGAGCTTTAAAAAATAAAATAAAAATTTACATTTATTTCATGCAGTTACTGAATAATTTGCCTTACGATTTGGTCATGTAAATTCAGAAGGACAAACCAAAATATACCCTGGTGAATAAGAGGTTAAAATGACTATATTTTTGTTGCAGACATCACCACCTTTGGTTTGTATCAGTCTGAATTCTGACTTGGCACGTTTCTTCGAATTTGAGTCTGCACATCAAACCACCCTGAATGACTTTGTTTAGATCGTAACCATTTAATCATGTGGTAATTTTGAAAAAAGTTTCTCAGCAGAAGTTTCTCTTTAAGTGAGGCAAAACAGAACAAATCAGTCTAATCAAAACAGGATAGTAAATTTGTAATACATTCTTTGATTCTTTGAAATCAGGAAGCTGGATTTCATTAACTTTACCGATATAAACTTAAGTATCACCACAGTATCGTGCAACCGTGACATATTTGCAAATTATCGTGATGCTGAATTTTAGCCATGCCGTTTAGCACCAGCAGTCATGAAAGTAATGGAAGCCTGTCTCCACCACTGGAATAAAAATATACATATATATCAGTCATAACGATGGAAATAACGTGTTTTTCGTAATTATGATTTAGTATCTCATAATTATGACATGGCATCTCATAATTTTGACTTGCTATCTCGTAACAAAGAGATTCAATCTCATAATTACGACTTAGCAGCTTATATTCATGACTTTCCTGAAATGAGAAAGTTTTCCTCTAATTATAAGGCACTATGTCACTATTATGAGATATTATGCCATAAGTATGATATTTATGAATGACAATTATGAATCTCATTTTGATTTCATAAGTAATAATAATGAGACGCTATGTCATGATCACGAAAAACTTTCTCATTATAATGATTTACTAAAAGGCTATAAACTTTTCCTCAGTGGCTGTATATTTTTATTCACTTTTGTTTAGAAGGTAGACTTATAAACAGCTGCATTTTGAGACGAGTTCAGTGTTTATTTCAGGGTGTATCTCTGTGTTTATTTCAGTGTGTATCTCTGTGTTTATTTCAGTGTTTATTTCAGTGTGTATCTCTGTGTTTATTTCAGTGTGTATCTGTTTATTTCAGTGTGTATCTCTGTGTGTATCTCTGTGTTTATTTCAGTGTGTATCTCTGTGTGTATCTCTGTGTGTATCTCTGTGTTTATTTCAGTGTGTATCTCTGTATCTCTGTGTGTATTTCAGTGTGTATCTGTTTATTTCAGTGTGTATCTGTGTTTATTTCAGTGTGTATCTCTGTGTGTATCTCTGTGTTTATTTCAGTGTTTATTTCAGTGTGTATCTCTGTGTGTATCTGTGTTTATTTCAGTGTGTATCTCTGTGTGTATCTCTGTGTGCATCTGTGTTTATTTCAGTGTGTATCTGTGTTTATTTCAGTGTGTATCTGTGTTTATCTCAGTGTGTATCTGTTTATTTCAGTGTGTATCTCTGTTTATTTCAGTGTGTATCTGTGTTTATCTCTGTGTATCTGTTTATTTCAGTGTGTATCTCTGTGTTTATCTCTGTGTGTATTTCAGTGTGTATCTCTGTGTGTATCTCTGTGTGTATTTCAGTGTGTATCTGTGTTTATTTCAGTGTGTATCTCTGTGTGTATTTCAGTGTGTATCTCTGTGTTTATTTCAGTGTGTATCTCTGTGTTTATTTCAGTGTGTATCTCTGTGTCCGTGTCTGTACCTCGTTGTCCCAGGAGCCGGTGGCGAATGAGCGGGGCTGCTGCAGGGACGCCGCCGGTACAGGCCTCCAGCGCGTTTTACTGATCTTCTGAGACACGTACTTCGCGTTAATGCACTCCATGACTGTTTGTTGGCCCCAGTTTTATCTGTTTTATGCTGTTTAAACCGAGTTCACTTCACACATGAGCTCCAAATTTCCCGTGTCCCGCCAGCTCCTCCTTTTCCGCTCAACTACGGCGGCTCCGCTGAGACAAACCGTGCGCAGCCAAAAAGCTGTGAAAGCGTTTGACGCTTCAGCTATTTTCCGTATTATTTCCTGTATTTTATTTCCCCGCTGAGGTTCACTTATAATGTATGTATGGTTTTAGGCATCAAAATTAGCCATGATTCTTTTTAAAATGACCCTTTGCCAACCTCACTTTATCCGTTAGAACAGGGGTGCACAGCTCCGGTCCTGGAGGGCCGGTGTCCAGCACAGCACCCAAACACAACAGTAAAACTAATTAATTTATGAGATGATTCAGCTCCGTTTGAACAGGAAACAGGATATGCCTTTTTTGAGACATCACGAATATATATATATATATATATATATATATATATATATATATATATGTATATATATGTATGTATGTATATATATATACATGTTATGCAGTATTGTATGGCCTGCAGTCAGCCCAACCTGCAATAGGCCTATCAGTGCTTCTTGGCAATCACATAAGCTTGTTACTTAAAGTTATTTCGAGAAAACTTTTTAGTTTTTTTCCAAACAGACAATCTTTGCACTTGTGCATTTAAAAATAAATGTTTAAAAATCCAACGTGTGCTGAGAACAGTTTATTTCAAAATGTGTTACAAAACATGACAATATTGTTTAGTCTATTGATAAATAAATATATATGCCAAGAGTCGGGGGGAGTGGGGTAAAGTGCTGCCACTGGTCTCTGGAGCAGTGGAAACGCATTCTGTGGAGTGATGAATTACACTTCTCTATCTGGCAGTCTGATGGATGAGTCTGGGTTTGGTGAATGCCAGGAGAACATTACGTCCTTGACTGCACTGTGCCCACTGTAAAGGGTGGTGGAGGAGGCATAATGTTATGGGGTTGTTTTCAGGGGTTGGCCTAGGCTGTTTAGTTCCAGTCAAGGGAAATCTTTATGCTTCAGCACCAAGACATTTTGGATAATTGTACACTTCCGACTTTGTGGGAACAGTTTGGGGAAGAACCTTTTCCATTCCAGCATGACTGAGCCCCAGTGCACAAAGCAGGCCCATAAAGGCGTGGCTGGGTGAGTTTGGTGTAGAAGAACTTGACTGGCCCTCACAGAGCCCTGACCTCATCCCCACTGAATGCCTTTAGGGATGAACTAGAACAGAGATTGTGAGCTAGGCCCTCACGTCCAGCATCGGTGTCTGACCTCACAAATGCTCTTCTGGATGAACAGGCAAAAACTCCCACAGACACTCTCCAAAATCTTGTAGAGAGCTTCCCAGAAGAGTGGAAGCTGTTACAGCTGTAAAGGAGGGACCAACTCCATTTTGATGCCCATGGATTTAGAATGGGATTTCATAAAAGCTCCTGTAGGTGTAATGTAGGTGCACTTGAATCATCTGCTGGTATGCTGGTCAGCAGCAATGGAAGTTACTATGCTGATCAGCAGGACAACCAGCATATCTTGTGTTTTGGATGCTGATATGCTGGTCAACCAGCATAACCCTGCTGGGTGACCAGCTAAACCAACACCAGACCAACATAAACACTTGGCTGTTTTGTCTTAGCCGGGGTTATATCACTCTAATGAATGCTGAGGACAGTTTATTTGCAGATATGCTGCAAATCACATTAATATAGTTAATTTGACCTGTCAACAACTAGGCAAAATAACGGTTTATAACTCGTCAATAAGCGCTGAGACGCCTTCCAACTCTGTCTTTTCTCAAAAGTCTCCAGGTCACGTGCTCGGATTAGACCGAGCTCGCGCTCTCCTCCTGCTGGACACGAGCGCGCACTGCAAAGAGAGAGAGAGACAGACAGGCTACGGCAGACTTTTAGTCAACAACAAGGGCGGCAGCCGCCAAATAAAAATCACAGCCCCGTGCATGAGCTCTAGACCGCGCGGGAGCTCGGCGGAGCTTTAGGTATCATCACTGGAGGAGGAGGGGGGTGGGGCGCGGACATGTCCGGTGACGCGCCGCCTGCGTCCGCGCTAGAAGCGGCGGGTGTTGTGGGGAAGGCAGTGTGCGCAGGCGCGGCGCTGACGGCCGCTCTCTACCTGATCCGCAGAGTCTGTTTAATAATGGCCTGGAAATCAGGAGGAACCAGCCAAGCAGAGCTCGTCAACAATCTCCGCAGTGAGTGTTTTTTTCACCCTCTTCCCACCCCTCGCACCCACCCCCGTCGAGCGGAGAGGATTAGAAACACCTAATACTCCCGGAGATTAAGCAGCGAAGATTTAACTTCAAGGCGAAGCTGAAGTTGGCTTCTGATTCGAATTTGCCCGTTCCACCTTAAATGGTGCAGCAGTTACGGTCTGGCGCCTGAGGCGCTAGAATGTAACTGCTGCACCATTTAAGGTGGAACGGGATAATTGGTATAAGAAGCCAACGTGAGCCTCTCCTTTCTGCACCTCAGATAGCAGTCTCCTAATTTTAGTGCACATTTAACGTATGTTTATGTATGTATTTGTTTCAGGACAGTACGTTCTTCCCTTTGGTGTGGCTAGATAACATTAAATGCGCTTACTTTTTCAGTCTGCGTCATTTATTTTGGTCTTGCCAGCTACGTTAACCTAGCTGCTAACTTAATGTGTCATTGTGGTCACGCCAAGCTTTGCAGCCTGACCACCTGATAAAAATACCTGATATGACCATAATGTAAAATAATGTTAAAATGAACGATGGTGTGTGCGATGTTATGTTGTAGCTGTTCATGTGTGGGGTGGGTGTGTTTTGTGCTTGTCAGTGGCCAAACGACCGTTAATTCGGTCGGTTCTGATAACGTTGCTTAGCTGCGTTAGCCGTTCTGTTTTCAGTGTTATTATTAATACCAAGAAGAAAGTAAAATGAGGAATTATTGTGCAGGTTAGAATGGAAATAGCAACCAAATGCAGATGGCTAAGCTAACTAGCTAATGTTAGCTAACCTACAGTCAGCTCCTCTCTGTTATTCAAAACGTACCCGCCCCATTACTGACAGGTTAGCTTAGCATAGCTTAGCCGCGCTAGCTGACTTCTCTAAGTTCGGTTTCTGAGTGGTCGGTATGTAAGTTAGAAGGGGAAAAATGTATTTTAATTTCTGTATATATATATATATGTGTATGTGTGTGTGTATATATGTATATGTATGTGTGTGTATATATATATATATATATATATATATATATATATATATGTGTGTGTGTGTGTGTGTGTGTGTGTGTGTGTGTGTATATATATATATATATATATATATATATATATGATGTGTGTGTGTATGTATATGAATTCAAGTCAATGCATTCAAGTCATTGCATCTTGAAATAACAGTTTGTGTTCTGGAAGTGTTAACTTATTATGTCTAAATAATGACTAATTTTCTCCAAAAAAATGACTTACTATGTCTTAACAGTGACTTCCTATTCCAAAATAGTTATATATAAATAACTTGTTTCAGGATAATATGTCAGAATTTCCTCTCAAGACATAAGTCAGAATGTCTATATTGTAAGTTAAAATCTTGTGGAAAAGGTGTTCAGAAATGTAAGAAAATGTCATTGTTTTGCCATAAAAAAGTCAATCTTTTGACGTAATAAACCAAAATTTTAACATATTAATGCCAGAAGCAAAAACAGAAAAAGGCAGTTATTTTTCTCTTGTACTTGGCCTGAATGGGCTTCCATATTAGCTGCAAATTTAGTTTGCTGTTTTGCAGTGAAAACCTTAAAAAGACATATCCATGAGCATCTTTTGGTTATGCAAAAAACATTAATTAATATTAACATGTTTTAGAAACACAACAGGCAGGAATTGGAGTCCAGTAGTGTCTAAATTCTCCTGCTGCAGTTTTGGTTAGTGATGCTGAGTGTAGTTGAATATTTTCATTATTTTTGTTATTATTTAGGGGTTTGAAGTCTGTAATTCAGTAGAAGTATCAATGCATACCTCATGTTTAGGTTTAAAGGTCCTGTATCTCTTTTTGCTCAACATCTTATTGAAAATTTTAGTCAGGGAAGAAACATGAAGGTTTACTGTGCTCAAGCACGGAGCCAACGCCTCTGGTATTCATAAGCTAGCTCTTTCTAAAAGCTCTCTAAAATGGTCCTCACAAACATTAGGCCTAATGCACATTGGTTGCGCACTTATGCGATAGTAGGGTGTGGTAATACTTTCGTTTCGTCTTCTTTTATATTGATTCATTTTATCTGTATGCATCAGCACTGCAGTTCAGGGATAGCTTCTGGTCAGGGGTCGTGTGTCCAGGTTGACATTTTGACCCTTAGGTTGAGGTCATGCCAGGTTTGGAAACCATATGTTAAAAAATGTCAATATTAAAACCTGTCAATCATTGCAACTCTGTCTTTTCTAAACTGGACTGTAGTTCATGCCTCAGCACCACGTTGATCATGTCTGACCATTTTTTTCTCATACGGAAGGCCAGTGTAGAAGTATGTGTTGCGCTCCTTACCCTGAGATTATCTGTGCCTAATAATATTTCTACTGAGTCTAGCATGAAACTCATCCTGCTGGGCTTCTGTTTTCATTCTGTGGGACAGTGTCCAGCGCACTATATTTAGGATGAATGGCCACTCATAGATGAAGAGTGCAGGACATGAGAAGCCTCTCTCTGAAGGGTCTTGGTCTGGTAACCACACAAAGGTTTCTGCCATGGTACTTCAGTACGGCTTGTGTATGGAAAGGCAAAAGAAGATGTGTTTCGAGTTAAATTGAACAGAAACCATGTTAGACTAACTGCTGGGAAATTCTGAAAGAATCAGACATAAAGCATTTATAATGCATGAGTTTAGGTTGTGTCACACATTTTCACACAAAGCTGTGATGCAGATTTTATTGAATGTTTTAAACACCTTTAACAGAGATTTAAGCAATATAGAGTTTATTACTTTTTTGAAACATTGGCCTAAAACTATATGATGATATACACCAATATTAAACAGTTGACTGAAATTGAGTTTATTGTTAATAGCAACAAACTATTTCATATTATTAAAATTATGCTTTCG